GAGACCAAGTGATGTGGGAACCCAGAGTGAGGTGTTCAGGCTTCTATTGAGCCTTGGAAATGAGCAGCCAGGTTGCAAGTCACAGCAGGATTGCTTACATGAATAAAGATGATGGATGCTCCTGGCTAGGGGTAGGTGCCATACAACAAAGTTTTTATCCCTGGAAAAGTCACAGCTTTCTCAGCATTTTGCTTCTGACTCAATGGAGGTTTAAATTGAGCTGCAAATACTCCCATTCTGATTTTGAGGCACTCTGAGCACTAAAAGGCATTTGCCAATCTCTGTTCCTCTTTGCTGTGGATGCCCTTTCACCTTCACTTATTGTCATTTCTGTGTTTTCCTGGCCTTTGATTTACATCAAAGTTTTAGGTACTTGAGCTGCAGGGTTTTACAGAGCCCACAGCAAATGGATTTACTGGGATTGCACATAAGCATGTCAGTTTTATTTTAGCACAGTTATCAATGCCTTGTTTACATCCCCAAAGTAGTTTTCAAGTGTTTTAAATGTTTTAAGTTGCTTTTCATTGTGCAGCTCTTGAATGCCTGAAGTGAAATACTCTTTCCTTTCTAGCTTTGCCCTTTCTAATTAAGCAAATCATTAATGGCCTTTCCCAATTCCAAGGAAAGCCATTAAAGTGGGCAACAAGCACAGTGTAAGCTTCTGTCACCTTCTTGTGTTGCATCCATCTCGATCACATCCAGGAACCCAGTTGTAATTAGTGGTGCTCCATCAGAGGAACCCCAACATTTCTGAATGTCAGTGAATGTTATTTGAATAGGAGTATTTCAGGAATAGATTTAGAGGCCTTTTAAAAATTCTTATGTAAATGGGCATGTAGATTCCAAGGGGGTTTCTTTTGGAAGGCAAATTAGATGATTAACCTGAGAAGGTTTATGATGATTCCATCATGTGCTTTCACTGAGGAAGAACAAAAAAAAAAAAAAAAGAGAAGGACAATCTTTCGTGTTTCATGCATTTTAAGTATTTTCATTTCCAAGGGGGAGTTCAGTCACTCTTTTTTCTGTTGCTAACCTGAAGCACAGTGGATATGAAATGTGGATATGCAGATTTTGTGCCGGGATTTAAAAATTGTAATAAGAAGCTTGCACGGGTGTTTTAAGTCAACATAACCTTTGGATGTAAAGTCAGACTTTGCAGGTCTTTGGATTTACTGGCATTAGCAGCAGTCAGATTTGCACAGCTGAGTCTTGGCTGAGCTTAAAGGTCTCAGCAACAGGTGTGGGGGATGTCAGAGCAGCAGAAGGTGCTGGGGGCCTGCAGGAATGAGAGGTGGGTGAGAAAATGCCATGAGGTGTCCAGATTTTTCCTTCCTGTCACTCTGGGGAGGAGACAGTGGTGCCAAACCACCCTGAAGCTGCCCTGAGTTTTGGGGATGCTGGTGCTGACTCCATCCATGCATTGGGTCTGTCTGCTCAGGAGAAGGACAGTGTCTTCTCCAATGTTCCAAGCAGAATTGGCATCTTTAATGTAAAAATCATTAGATGGGACCTAATTAATGTTCCCTATTGCAAACTAACATTTCCCAGAGTCAGGCTGCAGACGTAATTTACTTTCATTAGATATGTAGCTTTAAAAATTAGATTCATCCCAACTGCTACACTATTTATTGGCTTATTTCCCTTTCCTTAGCTATCCATTATTATCTGAAGCCCTTTCCTGATCTGTCTGGGTAGATTAGGTGGAATTAAAGCAGAGTGCAGCTTCCTGTTCCCCAGTGCCCTGCCTCTGTGGCAGCTCAGAGGATGCATGCCCCGATGTGCACGTACCTCTGAGCTTCCCTCTCCCACCCCTCTGCAGATCCCTCAAGGCCTCCCAGGTGCCAGACAGACCTCAACCCCCCAAATGCAGTTTTCTTGCATAAAGGTGCCATTCTCTGAGTCTCCTTTTGCAAGATACTCAGGGGGACTGAGCATTAGAACAGCTCAGAAGGGGCCCTTTACATCCTGGTAAGTGGGGGCTGACAGTGAGCTATTAAAATAACGTCAAAACCACAAAAACCCCTGAGACTGGAGGTGTTTCAGGCAAGAATTTAAGCTGTCCCTTGTGAGAAGAGGACCACTTGGGCCTGTGGATCAGAAATAGGAAAAAACAATTTAAAAATCCGGGGTTGCTGGATTCACCTGTCTCCTCTCCTTTTGTCTGTCTTCGTCTTCCCCATTCCTTTCCTACATCAAGTCAAAAGGTGATCCAGACTAATTAGGGCTTCACTGGGTTTGACACATGAGAAAGGTGAGACAAGATCTCAGAGGGAAGGGAGCATGCACAGGATACCCACACGCTCAGGCAGAGGAGCTGCATCACCGTGCCGCTATTTTGGGATCCCGTGCCGATCCAGAGCCTGCGTCCCTTGCTGGCAGCACTGCTGGGACAGGGAGATCCCTTACCTGTTGGGGCTGGGCCAGGGCAGGTTTTGTCCCTGTGGGGTTTGGCCATGGATCCCCCATGCTCTGCTGGAGGAGCTGGTGCATTCCCTGCTGCCTCCTGCGCTCGGCAGAGCTGTAATTAATGCTGGCCCTGCCAGCCTGATCTGCATCAGGTCTCCCTGGCAATGGAAGCCCTGGGGAGCCCAGAGTGGAAATTGCAGCAGCTCTGAGCTGGCCCTGGGGAGCTGGGGAGCACGGAGAAGATGGGGATGAGGCTGCAGGGGTGTGCTGGAAGGGGCAGAAGCAGCACCCAGGTGTCCAAGTGCTCCAGTAGCACCTGGAGCTGCCCCAGCTCTCCCCATAGTCCATCCTCAGGATTTGAAGTGATAAAGCAATTTCTATTCTTTTTTTTTTTTTTTTCCCTCTCCCATCAATATCTGTCAGCTTAACATACAGGAATCCTCTTTTTTCTTTTTTGTGGTGTGTGTCCCTGCCAGGAATCATGAATTGATACTGGCTTTATTCTGGATCAATCCAAGGTGATCAACTAAGCAAGCACAGTGTGCAAGCCTGCTCTGATATTGACATTTTGCTTTCAGCCCTTCCTCAGGCACTTTACAGTGATGTTTGGTCACAAAAATAAATGCAGCTCACATTCTACTTCTTTAATCAGAAAATGTAGAATTCTTTTTTCCCTTGATACCTTTCCATTACAGTTTTTTTGTTTATTTGTTTGTTTGTTTCCCTCTTTCTTCTCTCATGGATTATTCATTTTTTTCTCACTTCAGCATAGAAGTTTGCAGCAAAATCTGGGCCATTCCAGGAGTGGAGCAGCCTAGTTGCAGCTCCTTTCCTCCTGGAGTGTGGGATTCTGCTCCCCTTGCCATGATGTGGGCAGCAGTGGGGCCCCTTCTCCAGCTCCCAGGGCATGGAGGATGGATGGATGGATGGATGGATGGATGGATGGATGGATGGATGGATGGATGGATGGAGCCCATCTGACTGCAGAGATTGTTTATGGCAAGGGCTTTAAGAGACCAGGCTGGGGAGAAAAGATGTTGAAGTGAGACCTAGACAAGTCATTGAGTGACATTGTGAGTGGGATTGCAAGTGAGGTTTTCTTACTCTCCTGAGGCTGTTTCAAGTGTCTGCACACCAAATCTGATGTAAAAAGGGGAAATATGCAGTGAGAAATCAGGCAATTACCTGCTTGGCGCTGGATTCATCTTGTGGCTGATAAAGCTCAGCCTTGGCTGAGATGGCTCTGAAGGTCCCTCACCTCCAGCAGTCTCTTCCTCACCACCACGTTTCAGCCTGTGGTTCAAATAAATACTGCAAATCTCCCTATTTTTACTTGTTACTGTGACATTAATGGTCACTGCAAAGCCACAAGCACAACCTGGTGGTGTGAATCTCCTTTTCTTTATTCACCAAAATGCAGCAGCCCCCACCAGCAGAACCAACCCTTATAAATATTCACAATGCAGCTGGTAGGAATGTGAGACAAAGTCAGACAGATGAATTATTTAATGCTCTTAAAGAATGCAGCTTTTAGTTTCTCCTTGCACTGGCCTACTTTATTGTATTAGTAAATCGATCCTGAGTAAATTAATTTCCCTGCTTTTGTTGGAGCCAGCAGTGGGCAGGGGTGGCAGCCTCCATCCTTGAGCAGATGCCAGGACACCTCAGCAGCTGCGGATTCAGGCGCTGAGTGTCAGGAGAGAGCCGAGCTCCTGTCACTCATCCTGTGCCCTTTGATTTGCATCAGCACATCCAGCACTGGGCAGCCTTGGTGGGGGCAGGCAGTGAGTGACAGAGCTGGGGTGTGAGCATCTCCCTGATTCTGTGGAAAATTAGAGACACAGAGAGCTGATATCAAGGTTGTATCCCTGCAGCTTATGGCAGGATGAGGCTTCTTTTGTCCCTGGAGAGCTGGGACAGAGACCAGCCCAGCTCCCTCCCCAAAATCACATTCCCTTGGGTTGGATCAAACCCATGTCTGGCCACAGAAGAGCAGAGTAACAACCACCCACCTCCCAGTGATGCTCCAGCAAACCCAAAAAATCACCAGTCTTTCCAAGCAGTGGGGAGTTAATGTGGAGTACCTGCCTGAGAAAGGAACATTAAATCCACCCAAAAATGTCCTATTCTGGCAAGAATTTCAGCACCACTTCTGTGTGAGTGTTTGTGGCTGTAAATGCATAAGTACAGTCCATGCTCTCAGGCCATGCTCCTGCTCCTCAGCCAGTGTGCTCCCCTCTTATCCCTGTTAGAAATGCCCCTGCTCATTTGGGTGCTTTTTGGATGTGTGTTGATGTGAAAGAGCTGACACTTTATTGGGGAAAAAAACGTCAGAAGTGATCAGAGCAGCCAGCTGGAAGGGGAACTGGATTGGCACTGGTCAAACTGGGGATAGTCCAGTGGGTCCATCCACACAAAACCCTTCCAGTTAGCAAAACATGACTTACCCTTTTTACATGGTGGTGTAGCAGCTGTGCAGTAAATACTCAGAGAGAAATATATCCAAAATTGCTCTCTGAGTTTGTTGGATGAGTATGAAAATTTACTGCCATTAAGACTGACTTTCTCTCTCTCTCCCTTTTTGTCTGCTTTAGTTTTCTACTAGTGTTCTCCTGCCTGGTGCTGTCTGTCTTTTCCACCATTGATGAGTACCAGAACAGCTCAGAAGGGGCCCTTTACATCCTGGTAAGTGGGGGCTGACAGTGAGCTATTAAAATAAGGTCAAAACCACAAAAAACCCCTGAGACTGGAGGTGTTTGAGGCAAGAATTTAAACTGTCCCCTGTGAAAAGAGGACCACTTGGGCCTGTGGATCAGAAATAGGAAAAAACAATTTAAAAATCCGGGGTTGCTGGATTCACCTGTCTCCTCTCCTTTTGTCTGTCTTCGTCTTCCCCATTCCTTTCCTACATCAAGTCAAAAGGTGATCCAGACTAATTAGGGCTTCACTGGGTTTGACGCATGAGAAAGGTGAGACAAGATCTCAGAGGGAAGGGGGCATGCGTAGGATATTCAGGTAGAGATGGAAAGAGCTCATGTGGCATCAAGGGATAGAGGATCTACAGCATGCCTGCCCCAGATCTCCCAGCACACACAGGCAACCAGCCAGTTTCCTAGGGAAAAAGCTGAAATCCCCTTTTGTCATCCTCTAGGATCAGATTCAGTGATTCCCATCTCTGCTCTTCCCTCTGCATTGAGTTGAGTCCTGGGGACTGGTGGCAGGGAGACAGCGAGGTGTTCATCAGTCCTGTGATGGGGGAGCAAGCACAATATGAGGAGGTGTAAAGCTCCAGTTCATGACTACAACGTGCAGCACCTCTCACCACGCTGGGGAGGGGGAGGGAAGACACAGAGGCAGAGATCTGATGATCTCTCCAGCCTGGGCTCTCTGTCGAGCGGCGCACACTGCTCAGTGCTGCATTTTCTGAGGTGCATTTTTCCAAGGCCGTGGGTTTATCCTGGACTCTGGAGCATGCTCCCCACCATCCTTTTCCCCCCACTAATGTCGCTGTCCTCCTTGCAGGAAATTGTCACCATCGTGGTGTTTGGGGTGGAGTACTTTGTGCGGATCTGGGCCGCCGGCTGCTGCTGCCGCTACCGGGGCTGGAGGGGACGCTTGAAATTTGCCCGCAAGCCTTTCTGTGTCATTGGTAAGAGCTGAGCCCCTGCTTGAGTTTCCCCAGCCCAGAGTGGCCATTCCAAGCACTGGCTTGCATGGTGCACCAGTGTCTTGCACGTGTTTTGGGGGTTAAATTTCAGCTGCTTCATGGTCACCTTGAGAAAGGGAAAAAGCCCCGAAGGCAGAAGTCATAATCCATGGCAATGCTTTTTGTTATTTGTCACAGGGCTCTCCCTGTTTTCTGCTAACCTGGGAGCCATCCCAGTGCCCTGCATACCTCAAGTGGCACTGACAGATGTCCACAGCCACAGAAACAGGGTTTAGCCAGGAGAAGCTGAGCAGAGGAACTGGAATCCTGCAATCCTGCGTCCAACCTCCACACCAAATTGTTCCCAAGTCATTGAGACTCTGTGTCTCACTCTGCCTTCCCTGGTGCTGATGAGCTGCCTCACAAGGGAGCTGTGAGACTTAATTAATTATTGTTTGTAAAGCACTCAGCGAGTCTCCTGTGAGAGGGGCCATCTGGGCACAGCAGTGATATTTTCTGGGATTAGAAATGGACAGAATGGCTGTGCCCTTCACTATGGAGGCTGCCTTTGGGAGCTGGCAATGGTCATCTGCAGGATTTCAGGTTATTCCACAGAAAAACACTCCAATAAAATTTGTGTAGCAAATCAGAGAAGAGGGACATTTATGGGATCTTTGATGTGTATTGAGCAGGACTTTTTTTTTTGGAAAATTTGTTGGACTTTCTTTGTCCTTAAGCACCTTAGGATTACTATGGAGGATGTATGGATTTTCATTCCCAATTTAGATGGGGGAATTCCCTGCTCTGTGTAACAGGCAGCTATGGCTAATAAAAGAAGGAGCCTTTGGCAAGGATTTAATCCAATGGTAACACTGAGTCAGATCAAAATCCATTTGCAGCATTTGACCCATTTTTTATGGGAATGATGACCATGGAGAAGGAAACCAGGATGTTCCCACAAGGTGTGCAGTGGCTGCTTTCCTCCAGTTCCAGATTGGTGCTGTGTCCTTCCAGCAGGGGACACAAGTGTAGGGGACCCCTGTCACACATGGCCCGAGGCAGTGGCAACACCATTCCCTTTGGTATTGATCTGGCAGTGTGTGATTCACATTCTCTGAACCTGAGAGAAGCAGTGAGAGAAGCAGAGAAGAGAATGATCAAAACAATTTTTATCTCATTCGCTGCTCCTGTGTTGTGCCAAAGTAGAATGCAATGTGGAGATTGTTTACCTAAAGTAATAGTATTTTGTCTTCTTGGCCTATCAGGGCCAAGTGTGTGTGCAGACTCTTGGTCAGCAGACAGGCACAAGATTTTGTTCAGTTGAGTGTTGGTGCAGTTTATATGTAGTGTAATATATTGCTATATATTATAGAATAATATAGTAGAATAAAGTAATTAATTATCCTTCTGATATCATGGAGTCCTCCTCATCATTGTTCTCTGCTCCTGTGTTGTGCCAAAGCAGAATGCAATATGGAGACTGTTTACCCAAAGTGATGGTGTTTTGTTTCTTTGGCCTATCAGTGTCCAGACTGTTGGTCAGCAGACAGTCACGAGATTTTGTTCAGTTGAGTGTTTGTGCAGTTTAGATGTAGTGTAATATAGAATAGAATATTATAGTATAAAAAAGTAATTAATGAGCCTTCTGATATCATGGCGTCCTCCTCATCATTCCTCCCTCCATCACGGGGTTGCCTGTTTTCCGACCTGGCAGCTCTTCCTCAGCTTTCCCTGGCCTGTGTTCCCACAGACATCATGGTGCTGATCGCATCCATCGCCGTGCTGGCAGCGGGCTCCCAGGGGAATGTCTTTGCCACCTCGGCCCTCCGGAGTCTGAGGTTCCTGCAGATCCTGCGCATGATCCGCATGGACCGGCGCGGCGGCACCTGGAAGCTCCTGGGCTCCGTGGTCTACGCACACAGCAAGGTGAGCGAGGCCCCGGCAGGGACGGGGAGCTGCTCTTTGTGTTCTCCCCACCACGGACACTGCTTTGGTTCAGCTCTCCATCCCAAAGCTCTTCCAGGCCTGGGGAGATTGGAAGGGCACTGTAGGTCACACAGGGGGGCAACATAGGCAGAGACACAAGGTCTGGTGGAGTTCTCCACCAGTCAAGAAGAGAAGGAAGAGAGAGATTCCAGTCATGGAACCAATCCCTGGTGTAATGGGATCAGTTTGGGAAGAGGTTGTTGGTAGTTTTTTGCTTCCTGATGCTATATTTATGATTTTAACATTTCTCCTGCTTCATTCACTTTCTTTTCCCCAGAGAAACTTAGCCAGCTTCTCCAGCACTGTGTGAAAATCACAGGAAATTTGTGTGTCTCCTTTTCTACCCTTGCACTCATCTAATCCAAAAATAATCACTCCTGTGAATTCTGAATTAAAATTTGGGGGATAGTCCCTCCAGACCCCAACTTCACAGGTCCTCCTTTAGTGGATTGGACCTGACCTAAGTAGAATCTCCAGAGATCTGGGGGTTCCTATTTCAGTTTCAGCTCTGCTTCCCTGTGTGAACTGGGTAATTATCAGAGTTTTTAAAGTCTCAGTTCCAGTTCTTGCAATAATGGAGCTGTTAACACTCAATTCTCCATTTGCTGTGTGTGTTTGGATGATTTGATCTTCAGACCTGGCAGAGCCATGGTCCCATCGCAGAAAGTGCCATTACTGATCTCCAGCCAAAGCCCCAGAACCTAAACAACTGCAGGGAAAGTTCAGACCCAGCAGCAAGGAAGAAACTCAGCATTTGGAGATGCGCACCAGGACTGCAATTATTCTCTTCTTTCTTTTAATGATCTCACAGGAGCTGATTACTGCCTGGTATATTGGCTTCCTGTGCCTCATCCTGGCCTCTTTCCTGGTGTACTTGGCCGAGAAGGGAGAAAATGAGCACTTTGATACATACGCAGATGCACTCTGGTGGGGTCTGGTAAGTAATTTCCATAGAGCAGCTGCTGGTTATTAAAATAAAATGTCCATTAACCCTCCATCTTCTATCACTTACGTGAGGTATCGACTTAGGGAGTGCTTAGTTAACATTTTTATTAAATGGCCTCAGGCTGTTCCATTTAGCTCTTTTTCTTACATAAACCTCATAGAAATTGTTGCGGGATCACATTTCTGCACTGCCTGGAGCTGCAGGGGAGCTGAGAACTGGTGTGCTCTCAGTCGTGGGACTGAGCTCTGTCGTGATAGAGGCAGGTCAGAGAGAGATCCCACACCACAGGGTGCTTTGATCATTGTTTTGACAACTATTGCTGCCTTTTAATTATTTAAATTGCACTTGAGCAAGGCGCTGTTGAATATGCTGGAATAAATTTCATAAAATTAATAGGGCCTAAGTAGCAGAAAGGCTCCAGTGGGGTGAGCACTCCCCATCACATTTCTGCTGAAAGGGCAGTATTTGTGGTTTGCTGTGCCTGTATGTGTGCATGTGAATTATTGGATTACCCGATTTACAAAGAGAGAATTAATGACATTCTAATCTTCTTGCATTATTGTTCTTCTGCTCCATCACTAGTTTGGCCTTGATTACAAAGCATGTAATGAAAATCCCCGATCTGATCAAATCCCAATAACAGGCTTGGGGAGGAATCAGCTGATCAAGCAGCTCCTCCATTCCAACAAAGGGAAAGAGGCAGCAAATTGCTTTTCAAGCCCCTTAGTTAGGACAGAAAAATAAAAACAAAGCCCAATTTGACATAACGAGAAAATAAACAATGAAGGAAAAGTGACAGCCCAGATTAGAGCTCAGTCTGGGGAGAACCATGGGCAGATTTATCCCTTCTGCTTCTGAGACTGTTTTGCCACTGAGAAGTTCAGAAAAAAAATTAAGCTTCATTAATATAAACAGTTTTTGTCAGAGTCTAGCTCATGGATCCAATATGGGCAGACGTTGAGAGATGGGACAAACCGAATTTCAGGTTCAGAAGCTCATCCCTTCGTTGATCTTAGTGTGTCCAACACTTCTTGTTGTCTATAGAAATTACAAAAATATTGTAAACCAGCTTTGTGGTGATTATGGAGTGAGCCTTGCTCCGACTCTGCGTTTCACTAAGGATTAGCCACATTGATGCATTTTTTAACCACTTGGTCAAAATAGCATCTAATTGATAAGGCTTTTAGTGAGCCAAATTAAAAGGCGCTTTGGGATCCTACTTCCATTTGTGTAAAAGTGATTTTTTGTTCTAAATGGAATGCATGTTTCCAATGCCACATCAGCATGGTGTCATCTCCCATCCCTGGGGCCAGTGCTGTCCATGTGTGACAGGGACAGACTTTGGGATCAGAAGTCTCAAAGATATTTTTGATCAGACCATTCCTCTCTGCTTTGTCCTGCCAGTCCCAGGCTCTCTAAATCCTCTTGGAAGCCTTGGGGGATTAGCCAGCATTTCCTACTTGTGGCGTCGATGGACTGAAGTGGGAAAAAGTGTCTTCCCTTGCAGTTTGGAATTCTGGAATTTGGAATTCTGGAAGTCAGGGGCCTCTGTCTCCAGCAAATCTCTCAAGTCCTTCCCTAAAATGCAGACAGCATCTTGCCAGCTCTCTCCTGGTGCATTGCAATAGCACAAAACCCATCTCTAAATGAGGTGGTGTGAAGGAGCTGTAATTCATCCTCTCAGCCTAACAGGCTGTTGTTAAATAGGGGAGTGGAGACCAGCTGATGGGCACTGCTGGGACGGTTGGGAATAAACAGCAGCAGATTTTTGTGCATGCCAATAGCTTTCCTGAGCTGCTGAGAGGGAGTTTGGGAGAACAGAGCTGGTTTGCTTCCCCTGCCGAAGGCACAACCCCTCCTGGGGGAGGTTCCGAGCTGCCGCCAGCCTCTGCACCAGATGGCAGCTCTCTCTCTGACAGCAAAAGGCACCAAAATGCTCCCAACTGGTGTGAAACCAGCACGTGAGCAGGGCAAGTGTCGGGGTGTCTCTGCATCCCGTGCAGCTGCCCATCCCTGCTGGTGCCCCAGCTCCCTGAGCTGCACCGTGACCCGGCTCCTCCATGTGCCACTCAGCTGTTGAGGGAGTTTTGGCTGAGTTGTTTCAGTTTTAAGGCTGTCTGACCAAGGGCTGGGCACTGATCTCCTCCCTGCAGATCACTCTCACCACCATTGGCTACGGGGACAAGTATCCACAGACCTGGAACGGGCGGCTGCTGGCGGCGACCTTCACGCTCATCGGTGTCTCCTTCTTCGCCCTTCCTGCTGTAAGTGGGTGCTGAGCTCACCTGGGCCTTGTCCCCAGCCCCTGGAGCTAGTGGCACTCTAAAAGCTACAATGTGATGCACTCAGAGACCTCCTGACTGTAATACTCTGTGGCTTTTGGGTCAGAAAATGACAGACAAAAATGGAAAGCCTGTTTGAATATCCATAACTTGGGAATCGTGTGCATGAGCAAATGGGATGGGAGCTCTAGATTTGGCTCTGCACAAATATTTATGGAAGCAGTAAAAAACTTTTTTTTTCCCCAGAAGGCTATTCCTTGGGGTAATTAATGGCTTTAAGATGAGAGAGGGTAGGTTTAGATTGGATGTTATGAAGAAATACTTTCCTATGAGAGTGGAGAGACACTGGCACAGGTTGCCTAGAGCAGATATGGCTGCCCATCAAGGCCAGGCTGGACTGGGCTTGGAGCAACCTGACCTAGTGGAAGGTGTCCCTGCCCATGGCAGGGGGTTGGAATGGATTGAGCTTTAAGGTCCCTTCCAACCCAAACCAGTCTGCTATTCTGTGATTACACCATTTCAGCAAATTCCCCCTGTCCCTTTGGCAGTGCATTTCAATGTGTTGTGGGATCAGGATTCCTGTGAGGATGATCTGTTGAATGCCAGCACACTGGGGTTCTTTTGTATTTTATCAGTTGACTGGAGATAGTTTGGGAAAACTTGCAATTCCAGTGAGTGCCAGCAAAGTCAGCTGCCCCTTGGAGAGTGCATGCCATTGATTACCAGGATGGAGGCTCTTTCCTTCCTCTAGTTTGAATCAAAAAATGAGCCAGGAAAAAACCTTTGGAGGGAAAGCTGGCCACAATTTTTAAGTGGAAGCTTAACTAAACCTCTGCTTGTGGCAAATTGTTGTTCTCTTCCCTAGGGCATCTTGGGTTCAGGATTTGCTCTGAAGGTTCAAGAGCAGCATCGACAAAAACACTTTGAGAAGAGGCGAAACCCAGCAGCGGGCCTGATCCAGGTGAGGGTCACATCCAAGGAGCCTTGTGGTGGCACCATCCTAGTTTTAGGGGCTTCATAGACTTTTAGAAGTTGGGAAGGAGACAAATGGGGCCGTGTGTGTAAGGTGTGAGACTGCAGGCGGTGACTGGTTTTGTCTGGGAAAAAATGCCAGGAAATCAGCTATGGGGAAACAGCATATGTGGTAGGGAATCTAGAGAGAAGAGATGGAATTCAGCAAGCAGCCAGCTCAGCAAGACAAATGCATTAGGACAGTCTGTTTTCACCCTTTTTTCTCCCCAAAGAGAATATTTATCCTGATATAAAGGTACAGTTGGGAGCATTTTCTTCACAAGAACAGATGTCCGTGCAGAAGGCTTGCCTTGTTGTATGTCTTGGAGAATTGAAATTAGTCATTTTACATTCTCCTGCTCCTCTCTCTCCATATTTTTCACTTCTTAATGGGCAACAACATCCATCCTTACCTCAGCATGGCAATAAATATTTGGGACCTGCAAGATTTTTAACTGGGCACACATGGTCAGGAGTGTCATGGCACCACCCCACGTTTGTCGCCAAATCAAGGGGAAGGCAGAATGCTGGATCTATGCCACAGGACTGGGTGTTGGTTGAGGTTTATAAACCCAGGGGTGGTTCTGGCCATGCCTGGGTGCACAGTCCCACTGGGTTTTCTCCTGCACAGGCGGCTTGGAGATTTTATGCCACCAACCTGTCCCGGACAGACCTGCACTCCACCTGGCAGTACTACGAACGCACCGTCACCGTCCCCATGTACAGGTACCTCCTCCTCCAGCCTCCTCCTCCACTGCCTTCCTCGTGATGACACTGTCTCCATAGTTATTTTTGTTATCTGAATATATAATTTTGCTGATTTATTTAATTTTTTTTTTGTTTAAAAGTTGATTTTGAGCTCCTAAGGGCTGGTATAAGCTTTTGCTTTTGGTTTTATTTGCTTTGTATTTTTTAATTGTTTTTCTTTTTTGACTTGATTTTAATTTCCGTGTTGCTTTGTGTTTTCTTTTTTTCTTCCCATGTCTTTGTGTGTGTACATGCTCTTCTTTTCACCTTTATTTCTCCACGCCTGCTGGTAGTTGCATTGTGTTGTGACAGTTGCCGTGCCCAGGTGTGAAGACTTCCCTCCAGGCTGCCCTGGATCATAGGTAAACACCACCCTCACCCTACCTGCAGCTCCTTGTGCCCTCTCAGGCTCTCCTTGCTGGTCCAACTGGTCTCTAATGGTCCTTCTGCCTTTCAGCAAACTTCTCTCCCACCCTTGACCAGCCTGGCCCTCTCCCAGGTGCATTTTCCCTGGGTCCTCCTTTCCTTTCTTTTCCTTTTTTATCTCTAAGAGGAGGAAAACCAACTCGGGATTCAGGGAGCGTTTTCCCATTTCTTGCATCTCATTTATCCATCCCAGGGAGTTGACACAAGCAGGGAATGACGTTGGAGCCATGATGGATGAGGCTGCTGAGCACCAGAGTGTTCTAGCAGTTCCCACCTGCCTTGCTCTACCTGCAGTAAAACCAGGCAGGTTTTTATGGTGAAACCATTCAGGTTAGAGCAGTGCTGTGGAAACTCACAGCCTCCTGGGATTTGGAGCTTCATGGAGCTGGGAACAGAGTCCCCTGCCATGCCTCCCAGCCCTCTAGGACGTGGGGAAGCACTGCATCCTTCATGTTTCCTTTGGGCCTTGTGGCTTCATCAGAAGCTAAAATACAAAATGTTCTACTCATTTTCACCCCACACCTCCCTGTATCCTGGGCAGGGCCATGTGCCCCTTCCTGGTGTATTTTTGGAGCCTATCCATGACTCTCTGTGTTTGTAGAATGATTGAATATGTTTGTTAGATGTTCTTGTAGCTCTGTGGGGTTCTGTTGGGTGTGATGGGGCTCCCTGTGCCCCATCTCCCTGCTCCCACGCAGGGCTGTGGCCCAGCACTGGGCTGTGCCACTGCAGGAATAATCCCTTCCTGATTTCCCACATTACTGGTGCCTTCTAGCCCTCAGGCAGACAGCCTGGATGTATTTCCTGGGGTAAGCTTTAGCCTGTAATTCATACACAGCAGCCAGCCTCTTAAGCCATCATAAAAACCTGTTGGAAGTCCCATTGTTGTGGTCAGTAAGTTCTCATTGGATTCATTCCCAGTGTGTGTCTGATTGGTTGCTTTTCCCCTAGAAATTTATGAACCAACATGAAGGTTTTATCTAAAAAAAACCAAAACAACAACAACCCAACAGAACAGAACAAAGCTGTTTTCCAATAGCATTAAACCCACCCATTGAAGCTCTCCCTCCCAGTACCTGACCTCCTGGCTGTACCTTTGCAGCACTGCCTGGGATCAGCTACTGGAGAGGATGAGGATGGAGCTTGGCCCAAAATCCACTGCAAAATGCAGGCACTCAGGGCTTGTTTTCAGTGGACTTTGCCAGATTTTACTGCTCTTTGAAATACTGAACTTACCATGCAGCCAGACATGCAGTGACACCCTTTTGATTACCTGTTACACAACCTCCTTGTTAAAACCTGTATTTCCACAGAGCTAATATGCAGGAAGAAATCTGAGCTAAAGATCTCCAGAAAAGGCTAAATAGAAACTCTGGGGAGGAGAAAGAGGTAAAAAATGTAGTTTGGAGAGCCTGCTTATCTTGAGTGAAAAGCCAGGAGAGGTTTTTAGCAGGGTTGTAGCAGTTTTGCTGGCTGCTGCTGTGGGTGCTGCTCAGCCCCACACCCTGGGCTTCCTTAGAAATGGATTTCTCTGAGCTCTCAGCTTCTCCCTTAAACCCCAGCTCCTGTTTGTGCTCAGATCAAGTGAACATCACCTGGGCGAGTGAGCTGTGGGTGCACCAATGGATTCAGCCCTCAATGAAATTGTTTTACCAAAAACCAGTGAACTCCTTCTGACTATATTTTGAATCCTGTCAAATTAAGTAGATTTATTTTTCTTTTAAAAAAGGGAGTAACTGTATGTTCTGGCTGCAGCTTGCATCACTCACACTGACCATCTCTCCTTGCCTCCCCACTTCCCCAGGCCATGGGCAGGCACTGGCAGCTCTGTGCTCTGCTGATGCTGCTGCAGCCACAGCAGCACGTCAAGCCCAGCAGCCCCTTAAGGCTGTGGCTGCTGACATGTGGCTGCAATGCACAGGGTGGTGTGGAAGTGGGCTAGAGGAACACAAAATCCCCTCTCTGGTGCCTGGGGATGATCTGCAGTCACCACTACCTTGGCATCCTTTCTGCTCAGCACTGAGCTGCTCATCCCTCATAGCAGGAGGCTGTGCCTTTAGCTCATCTCTCTTCCCAAGGCATCTCTGGAAAGGCTTGGCTGCTTGATGTGAGAAAATTGTTACAAGTGCCTTGGAGGAGCTCATATGGCTCCAGAGCATCACTCCAATCACTGCAGTAGAGCTACTCTGATTTGTTTGGGGGAAAATATGGTGGCCTCTGAGAGAATCCCAGATTTCATCTTTAAATCCAAAATGTGGCAGGACCAAATTCTGAAACATGCATAAGGCTTCTGTATGTGCAGGTGTGGTTTGGGTTGGTGCACCCAGACATCATATATAACCTGTTCTTCATCAGCCACTGGATTTATTGGGAAAAAAAATCTGCTCTTATTGTCACTCATGAGAGCAGAGCCTTGCTCTGAACTGCTATCATATATTGGCCTTCACTAAAAAAATCAAATCCATGGGAACATCCTGCCCATCAGCAGCCCAGCCCAGGGTGTCCCAGCTGGTGGAGCTGAGGATGTCCCATGGAAGGTCTCTGGGAGGCCCCCACACTTTCCCTGCCCCGTGGTGCCCATTTGCTCTCAGAGCAAGGTGCCAGCTGCCTGTCCCCGAGGGTGACACGGGCGTGCCATGGCTCCTGAGCCAGCCACAGCAGGAGCCAGCTCAGCCCCTGCTCCTGTGCCCACCTGTGAGCCTGGCCACAGCTGCTCCTGGGGACACACTTGGTTCATATGCTAATTTTCTTTATTCTGTTTCTTTCCCCCTCTCCTCCACCCCAACTTCCCCCCCTGTTTTTCTTTCTCTCACCCCTTTGGTTTTCTTTGGTGAAAACACTTGAAAAGCACGCAAACGCAAACGTATGGTGCCTCCAGGTATGAAGTGCATGTGACTCTGAAAGTGTGTGTCATGTCACTCCTTGTTCTTCATTTGGGACTGTAACGTGAATTTAAAAAAAAAAAAAACCAAAACAGCAAAACAAACAAACAAAAAGAGACAGAAACCTTCGAGGATGAGTTTTTTCCCCAAGGAATGAGTGAAAGCCCAAAGCAGACACGCCCAGCTGCTGCTACAGACTAACCCTGCACCTCCATGTACATCTTAGCTATTGGTACACACAAGTGTTGGGAAACTGCCAAAATGGTGATGTCAGGAAGGAGAAGGGGAGCGTGCTTGATAAGCTTGCTTTGTTAAGGATGATTTCTTGATGGTCGTTCCAACCTTCCCGGATCCATGCAACGCTTAACAAGAAAACATCCCCATTCATCTTCCATTGCCCTCTGCCCTCACTCCCCTGTGTTCCCTCTCTCCAGCCCTCTTCTCCCATCCTTCATTCTGTCATTTATCTGGCTCTGAGCCGCAGGAGTTGTGCCCACCTGGTGATGCTGGCTTTGAGTTTGCTGGTGTGGTGGCACCACAGGGCACATCAGTGGTGGCACAGAACAAAACCTCCAGAGCAGCTGTGCCTGCTTTTGAGGGTAAAACCTGGAGAAGAGAAAGATCTGGGATGCTAAGCTGATATGATCATTAATTTCTTTGAGTAATCCAATCTGATTTTTTGGTGAAAGAATGCTTCATCTCAGCAGGACTTTTCCATTTCAGTTTTTAGTTCCAAGACCCACCTAGAGCTTAAGCAGTTATTAGCCACAGTTATTCAATCTGGGACTTAACCTTTTGGGATCAATCCAAATGCAAAGTCCTGGATATGGCTGTGTAAGATTTATGATAAATAATATTATCTCAGGTTCTGCAGAAAGGAGTAGATTTGCAAATCACAGGAGTATTTTATATGAGATGGGTATCTGAAGGTGTAGTCAAGTTAATATTTTAAGATGGGGAATAAATGACTTCCATTTCAAGACTGCAGGACAAGCTCTGTTCTGAGAGCAGCTTAAATCCTCCCTAGATGCAGTAATGCCACTAGAGCTGATGTGATTTAGTGCCTGATTTCGAAACCCAGTTCCACTTTTCACAGATGCAAGTTTTACAGCCTTAGTAAATCACACTTACTGCTCTATGTGCTTAATTTATAGCAAATTGCATCAATGAACTGCAAGTATAATATTAAGAATATATTTTCGTGTTGTGCTGAACAACAGCCTGTTTTGAGAATCAGACATTTTTCTACTACTGGCAGAGGAATAAGAATGTGCCACTTCTGTTCCATTTGTCGTAATGAAGTATTTTATAAGCTCCACAAATGTTCTCAGTCATGAAAAATAGCTTCAGTTGGAGACATAAAGTCCTGGTTAGGGCAAAAATTGGCTGCTCATAGAAACTCCAGCACCGCATGGAGGCTCATTTAGGTTCCCACCCCATTCCAGCATCATTCTCCTTGTCACCATCTCTTTAACTGTTCATCCTGGGACTGTTCCAAAAAATCATCGTGGCGTCCGTGAGCGTGTCGTGGTGTGTCCCTGTGGTTCCCACCGTGTCGTGTGCTGCTGCCCTCCTCGTGTCGTGGGGTTCTGGTGGTGTCCTTGGCCCGAGGCATGGCCTCCCTCCTGTCCCCTGATGCTTGAACAGTTCTCTGTGCTCCCAGGAACAGCGGATCCTCCTTTCCCTGCGGATGCGGGAGCCGGCAGCTGGAGTTAGCGTGGCCTTTGTGCTGTTCTGGGAGGGGTGGTGGAGGCAGCTGGGGGGACCTGCAGCAGCTCCCAAGTGTTGCTGTGGTGGGTGGCATGAGCTGTGTGTGTCCCGTGGTGTGCACATTCCTCAGCCAGCTCCCCCCTAACCGGAACGTGCTTCCCTCGCTAACCAGTGACGCACGGAGCGGGAGGAGAGAGAGAAAACGTGAGGAGCCCCAGCCAGAGGTTCCTCCTGCACCTGGCACCTGTGTCCCCTGTGCACCCAGCATTCCACAGCAAAGCTCAGTTCAAGAGCTGTGCAGAGTTTTGCCTTTTTTTGGTGTTTTTTTAAGGTTCTGGAGAAATGGTGTGGTGCAGTAGCTGTTCCTCAAGCTGCTCTTGCAGTGACAGGTTAGGCTGAGCATTTAGTTGAGATTAAATTTCAGGTCAAGTATATGTTTTCACTCATTTTTAGTAATAATTATTTCATTAAAACATTGGTTGTTTCCACCTCACGTGTACCAGGCCCATGAGCCAACCACAGAAACGGTGAATTTCTGTGTTTGTTGTGTGTCTGTACTTCCTCATGGAAGCATCCGCGGTGTCCCAAGAGGTGGGTGCCACTGCAGACCATGGGCTGATGCAAAAGAAATCATTCCTTTTGGAATCCTGAATCCTCCAGTCTTTTGAGCTATTGAGCTCCTCAGCTGAGACTTCCACCAGTGAGAGCCTGGGATTTCAATCCCAGCTGGAGAAAACGGGGTGATTTTCCTGTGTTCTGCTGGGTATGGACCTCCCTGGGCAATTAATTCACCAAAGAAGAGCTGTGCACCCTTCATTAGCTGCTGAGTACACCCTGTGCTGGATTTATGCGCCACCTCTGCCAACCTGCAATGCATCTCCAAACCCAACTGAAGGGAGGTGACAGCCCAGCACTCATGCACAGCTCCACTGCATCAAGGTCAGCTTCTTCCTGATGTCTGGAATGAAGAGGATCATTAATTCAGCAGATCAGGATGTGCTTTTCTCTGGATGGAAGCAACTGAGGAGCTGAGCCAAAATTTTTCAGGCCTATTTTTATTCTTTTCTCCATACTTAGAATTGGAAAATTTTCTGATTGCCTCAATCTTGTGAACACAAAATCTCTGCTGAACCACTGTGGTTTTGAGGAAGAGTTTTGTGCCTGCAGAGAAGAGGCTTTTCCAGTTGAGTTGGATTTTTTTTTTTTTTTTAGTTAAAGTGTGAAACTACTCGTCTCATCATGACTGAAAAAATGTGAGCATGAATATCTCTTCCTTTATTTTATTAGAAGCCTCATTCCTTATAGTCTCCTCCCTAACACCTCCATCCTATGTTTCTCTTGGTTGAAAACCTGGCTGAGAATATCAATATGAAATATTTATGGACCAAGCAATATTTATTCCCAGGTTCTCAGGGAAGAACTCCAAAATGGATGTGGAGCTAATTCCATGGCTTTTAAGCAGGATAGGCCAAAGGATGTTCTCTGGATTTTTAATTCTTACCAGGATTCCTATTGTCAGATTCTTTTTTTTTTTTTTTTTTTTTTTTAACTGAGAAGGAAAGGAAGCCCTGTGGTTTCTGGAAGGCAGTGGCACAAGATTTTTTCTCATTTTAGGGCAAAACCTGACATGGAGAGTAGGGAATTGCAGCCCACTGCTCTCTCTCCTGGGATGCTCTCCAGGTCCTTGTTTTCTCTGCTTCTCCCTCCCATGCCTTCCCACATTCCCAAGAGCAGCAGGGTTGAGTTTTCCTATTTCCCCCCAAAGCTGGAGTTTCTCTCCATTTAGCAATGCCAACCTGCCAGACTACAGCTCTGCCAAAACACCACTGGGCTGCCCAGGAACCCTGGCAGCTGCTTGGTTTTGGGGAGGTTCAAAATCCAGTGGTGCAGACAAGTTTCTCTCTCTCTCTCGCTGTCACTTTCTCTCTCTTACCCCACTGCTCTGCCTCAGGACACTGTTGGAAGTGGCACCAAACCCCTCTCCATCCTTCCCGAGCTGTCCCCCAGCTGCAGTTGGTGGCACAGAGCTGGTTCTGGTTGAAAGGATGGGGCAGCAGGGGAAGTTGCCGAGACAGGAGGTTCTGCAATCAGCTCTGAGTGGATATTAATGCCTGTTGTTTTCTCCCTCTAGACTCATCCCTCCTCTGAACCAGCTGGAGCTCCTGAGGAACTTGAAGAGCAAGTCGGGACTGACATTCAGGTTAGCAGCAGAGTTAAGAGAGTTTGGAACGCACACACTTTGCAGTATTTTTCTTTTTTTTTCTCCTTTTTTCTTTTTTTCCTTCCTGCCTTTTGCATATGGACATCCTTGAAGATGAAAGAGGTTTGACAGCTGGTCCCACATGGGTCACTCAGTGACCTCCTCCCTGCCCCTCTCCCGTGCTCTACATGAATTCCTTCAGCCTAACTTGGCTCTGGAGCAATGTCACAGTGCTTGACTGACAACTCAAAGCCATATTCTCAAAGGGGCTGATGGAGGTAGTGATCCCAGGCTTCCTCTGACCTTTCTGCTCCTCACCACACTCCGAGGACCCTCAGGCCCATGATGTGTTAATTCATTCTCTGTTCCCTCCAGTGACAGCAGGCAAGGTTGCAGCAGTGAGACACTTTTGCTAAATTGTCTGTGGAAGGGTTTACATGAACCCCCCAGAAGGGCAGGAGTCCTGCACCTGCACCCTCTGCTTGGGAGGGGAAATTCCTGGGGTTTTTGAGCACTCCAGGCTGCCCTGTTGGTGAATGGGGAGTGTGCAGACCCTGGGAGGGATGGAGAGGTGCCAGTGGGCATCGGGGCCAGCTGGGGGGGTGTGGGATGGAGCCTGCCCTCCACAAAGAATCCACCCCTGGGTCAGCCTGAGCAGTTTAAATGTGAGTATTTGAGCTAGTGACTGAGGCTGGGCTTCCAGGCTTTTCTGAGCAAGAAGCAGAGGTGGGGGGAAGGAGATTTTTGTTAGTGTCTCCAGGCTGCTGCCTTTAGCTGAGGGAGAGGGGTCGGGCTCTGTGCAGGTCTCAGTGGTCACTGCTGAGCAGCAGCAGGGCCAGGGCTGGTGCAGCATCACACTCAGAGGACACTTGTGTTAGGGGAGGCAGAGAAAACACTATCTGCTCCCTCTCTGGGGGGCTGCAGGGGCAGGACTGGTCGGGGCCCCCACCAAACACCATTCCCCAGTGTAGGGGTTGTGAATCAGAGCAGCTTTTCCTCATTGCTGGAGGGAAATACCACCACAGTGCCTGCTCAGTGGAGGTGAGGGGTGTTTTTCAGTGTGGCCTTAGCATGGCTTGCATTGTCCTGGCTGCTCTTTTGTAGGCATTCAGCTCACTTTGTCCTCAATGATTTCTCAGGGCAATCCAGTTTCGGATCTCAATACGATACTGCAAACACAGACTGTGGTGTCCCACTCCCTCCATGCTGCCTTTGCCAACTGCTTTGGTAAAGTAGCTGCCAAAGAGTCTGGAGGCACAAACCCCACCTGGGGTGTCAGGATGCCAGGGAAGGGGTCCACGCTCCTTCCTACCCATGTCCAATCCCAGCACCTGGTGTGAATCCGTGCATTCGGAGATCTGACATGAGCTCTGTCCCCATGGCCAGGGAGGAAAAGTGAATGCACCGAGGTCATGGGAGCCATTCAAACCCTTCCCCCTGTGCAAAACATGAGGGCAGTGCATTTCCAAAGGAAGGGGGCCGCTCTCTGAGCCCACAGAAGTCCTCCTGTGCTCACACAAATCACACAGCCCTCAGGTGTCTCAGTGGTGCGTAGGCACAAGGATGGGTTGGGATGAAATCTTCAACCCTGTGCGTTGTATGTGTCTTCTCTGAGGTTGTGTGAGTCTCCAGTGATCTTCTGTCCAGGCCAGAAACTCCAGGAATTAAGTGCTCCTTTCCCTTTCTTCTGTCCACAACTTCCACTTAGTTGTACTGTTGGTATTGTCGTTTCGTTATGTTTTAACAGTGAAGCAGCAACATCTTTTGCCACCTGACACCATGCTAATGTACTATTGCTTCTGTTTAAAGGAAAGAGCAGCAGCCTGAACCATCGCCAAGGTCTGTATCACTGCCAACACGCCATCCCCATGCATTCCCTGTAGATTTCTGTGTGTGTGAGTGTGTGTACCATGTCGTGGCACCATCGAGGGAAGCATTCCTAGGTATTACCGTGCTTTTCCTGTGCTGTGCAGTCCGATGTTACCTACATGTATGCTGGACCTTAAATCATATCTTCCCTCCAGTCTGCCTCAGGCTGGAGCAGGGTAGCAAGGCCGGGGGGGAATGGAGAGTGGTGGCAGCACAGGCAGAGCTGGCAGACACTCACGGGGGTGACAGCAGGGCTTTGGTTTACGCTTCTTTATTTTATTTTGGTGCTGGGGTTATAGCTGAGTAACTCGGTGTAACACAGGCTCAACGTGTGCCCAGGGCAGGTGAGGCTTTGCCTGTGTCTCTGTCACCTGTGCTGGGCAGAGGTGACGTGATGAACACGAAGCCATCGCCGCGTCGCCGCCTTGGCAACTCCTGCTGAGCTCCTCTCGCCGCAGGGCACGGCCTGGACCTGCTGCTCTCCGTGGGACACAGGAGGGCTCTGTGGCACGGCACGGGGTGGCATGGCAGAGACACCCTTGGTCCTCCCCACTGCTGGGGAGGAGGCACATTCCCTGCTCCATCTTCCCTCCACGCCTCCAGCCCACGGTGCAGAGCGAGCTCTGGGTCGTGGCGAGCACCTTCCAAGGGCGGCTGCAAACCTCACTTGTGGTAGAGCTTTTCTCCGTTCACAACTCCCCAGGGAAAGCAGCAGGGCTGGTGTTTGGGATACTTTTAGGACACTCTTCATCCACTTAGAAGTATTTAATTCTGGGATTTTTTTCGTCCTGTATTTTCCAGTTCTTTTAAAGAATAGTTCTGGAACTGAATCTCTTTTTTTTTTTTTTTCTTGGCTGATGAGACACAAACTGATGATCAGTGGAGATCATCTGCTTGGCTTTCTGATCTTCCATCTCATTCCTCAAAACACAGCTTACTGCCTAGATTTTGTAAACAATGAATACATTTTTCAGAAGTACAGCTAGAGCCTGGCATTCTGCAGATGTACCTCTCTGCCATGCCTCTTAGCTTATAAGAGGCCAGAAGCTAATTTTTCCTTGGCATAAAAGCCAACCAAAGATATCTGGGTAGATATACTGCTGACTAAAGGGTGGAAAATTTTATCTTTCCTTCCTCCTTCTCCCTCTCCCCACCCCCTTTTTTTCCCCCTGTCATTCCTTTGAGCTTTTCTTTGCAAGCAGAACCTTTGTAGCACTCCATCTATTTTCCTGCAAAATAACCCAAATCTCCAAGATCATGTTTCAACTATCCAGATTTTTTTTTTTCGGTTTATTTTTTTTTTTGTTAAGTGCAGCTTGAGTGAAGGCAGCCTCCATCCAGCATTATTAAAGCAGGGAGCATTACTTGGGAACAGCTCTCTGGAAGCAGACCAAGGCTGAAATCTTGGCCACCTGCCTGTGGCATCAGGAGGGTCAGAATTTAATCCCACGGTCTGGCTGCTCTGCTGCCCTGCCTCAGCCAGTAGTAAACTTTGGATGCATCAAAGGGTAAATCCACATTTCTTACAGTGCAATGAGACAAAATCCCTGTTCAGCCCCATCTGCTCCATAGCCAAGGAAATCTGAGGTATGACAGTCCCTTTCCCGAGCCAGCATCCCTGCAATCTAATCAGACTAAACAGTCTTATTTCTGAGTCACTAGCCTTATTTCTAGTTTTTGAATTTTGGTCCTGTCTTGCAGGGTTCATATTTATTTACTAGACACCTGAAGTTGAGTACAATATTTCTTCGTAGAGGTTGCAGGTTTTTCCCTGATCATTTTCTACTTTCTCAACCTTATGTCACAGAAAGAAGTAAAAATAGTCCTTCCCTGTGCTTTTTCAGAGTAGTTTTTACTATTTATAGGTCCTTCATCAGTGCCATTTCCAAGTGCTGTTTCCTGCTCCTGTGGTGCATCCGTCTCTTGTGACACTGATGGGTTTTGTTGCTAAACCCCAGCCCAAGGAGGGCTGAAGCTGAGGGTCTGCAGCTGCTGTGAAGAGCTTTAAAGTTTATTCCATATCCTTCAGTTCTGCTGCCATGGCAGCAGAAGGAGCACCAAAGCTCCTTCCTTCTGATTTGTTAGGGCAATACCAATTCTACCTGTCCTCACTCTCCTTTTCCTTCCATCTGGTAATTCCTCAGCCCTCAGGAAGGATTTTTGTGTTCAAGGGGGCCCAAATTGCCTATTTTCCCCCAATAAAATTTTCTGGGTCTTTTGCATTCACATCCCAAATCTTCCACCCACTCGAATTTCCAGCAGCCTCTCGGTGATGCTCAGTGTGTCATCCTGCCCTTAGAAAAGAGAACTCATCCTGTTTCTCTGCCCACCTGACAGTTAATCACCCACTTGCTGCTGATGCTTCACTCAGGAAGCTCCTGGGGATGAATTGTCTCTCTTAGCAGACCCCAGCTCTACACTTTTACTGCTTCAGCTTGGGAAGGGATTTTCCCCTTTGCATTTCCATTGCTGTAAGGAAACAGTCTTACACCTGGAGGGAGCTGGATCTTCCTCCTGTTCCAGTGATTTGTAGGGAGTGGCTGATTTCCTACATCCTTCTTTCCATAACAGATACACCACAAACCCCCTGCAGCAAATGGAACAGAAAGAGCTTTTTCACTATTTTTCACCTTATTATATTTCAATTTAGAGAAGGGATGCTGGCATGGCACATGGGGTTATGCTGTGCAGGATAAACGTTGTCTTGCAAGGTCAGGGAGCATCCCAAGCATTCTGCCAGAGCAGAGGGGTGGCTGTTGGGGTCCTGCCCTCTGCCCCCAGTGCTGCTGTGGCTGTGCTGATTTCTGCCCACACAGCACTGGCAGAGCTGCTGGGAGCACAGGAGGAGGTGATGGGGTCAGTGTGGCAGAGGCTCGGGGTCACCTGCAATTTCTCTTGGGTGGATTTTGATTTAGCTTTGGCATAAAATGGGACAGCTGACCTGAGAGACAGGTTATGTCCTTTCTCTGTGGTTTCTGCTTTGTTTTCCCACCACGAGCTTGTCTGCATCCCCATCCAAGTGCTGGGAACGCTCTGTGCTGCCTCTCTTGGGGAGCTCACCTCCCCCAGAGGTGGAGCCTGGGCTGGGATGAGCAGAAGAGATGCTGGCCTTTTCCTACATGCCATGTACCCCTTTCTCCCTTTTTATTTTCCTCCCTTTAAAAAAACAAACACTTTCAGAGCCTCCTGCTGCCCATCACTTTGGGTGTTGTGTCCACCCTGCCCCTGCCCCAGCCAAGCACTGTCCCCTGCCCCTCCCCAGGCTGGCTGTGCTGCCCATCCCACCTCTGAGACCCCACCACTGCCATGCAGGGTCCAAACACAAATCCACTCTCCCTCCTATCCCCAGGGAAGGGGGCCTGCTCTGTGCTAGGGCTTTTCTCACCCCTCCTGCTGCAGAAAGCCAGCAGATCAGAGTAGTAATGGGGGGGGTGATTACTCTTCTGTTAATCAGGCTGAAAATTAGCTGTGGCATCTCGTTTCTGTTTGTTTTGCTTTGATTGTAATGTCAAAAAGACAGACACATGGTTCACCAGGGCTATGGAGGCTTCTGTATGAAATGTGGGCTTCAGATGCTCTTTAACAGATGGTTTGAGAAACATCTGAAGGCATCCACGACCACATTTCTTCCTCTTGCATTTTCCAAAATACAATTGGGTGAGAAGCTTAAAATTAATGAACCAAATGATCGTAATAACACATTCATATCAGAGAAAAAGAAACAGAAGGATTCCAGGGAAGTGGGAAGCTAAAACTCAGATTACTTTGTCCAGCATGAGTTCAGTGCTGTAGGTGATGAGAGGAACCTCTTTGGAAGGTTGTTCTCAGCTGTGGCTTGTCCTTGACCCCAGTGAGCTCAGCAGGACCTTGGCTGTGTTCTGGGTGAATGCTGGGCTGGGTCCTTGTACCGTGTGTGTTTATCTGTGTGTATATCTCTCTCTCAGTGTGTGTATATGTCTGTCTGAGATACACACAACCCCAAGATCTCTCTTCAGGGGTGTGATTAAGGCTTCTGTACGCACTGGAGGATGCCTTTGGTTGACTCAGTGGGCCCCTGCTCATCCGGCCAAGGATGTCCAAGGTGTCCCAAACCTCTACTGCCCATGGAAACCAGGGTCAATCATGGGAACTCCATGGGCCACATGAGCCTGGGCTGGTGTTTGGCCTTCTAACCAATTTATCTGGTGTCAGAGACTCATGCTGGGACTGACAGTAATCTGGAAATAATCAGTTGCCTTTAGGGGAGCGGATTATTTGCACGGAAGGAACTGCATCTTTCTGGAGGGACTGCAGAGGAGACTGAGAGGACAGAAACCCATGTGTCTCCCTGAGGCTCTGCATGCTCAATGTCCCACTCCCACGCCAGCTCCAGGACAGCCCTGGTGGCACCACCAGCCCCTGGGGCTACCTGGGGATGCAGGGTCCCATTGTGGACACCTGAGGAGTCCCCAGGATGCTGAGGGTGGTGTCAGCTGAGCTTGCATGGGATGCTGTGCCCGTCAGCTCCTCTGATTACCCACCACAAGTGTAAAATAAGACTGGGATTTGGTGCCCTTCAGCCTTTGCAGTCTGGCCCTGAATTCAGCAAGAGCTGCCTGCTGGTGGTTGGTGGCCTGGTGGGGTGATGGGGCCACGTCATTCCCCTTCCACAGGTAGAGGGCTGCTCCATGGCGTGGAGGACCCTGGTCCTGGTGGGGATCTCCTGGCAGGGCAGTGCCTGAGCAGCCATTTGGGATGGAGCTGTGGTGGTGCCTCCTCAAAGTCAGCAACTCCCCAGAAGTGGTAGGCCCTGTCTGAAAATCATTACAAAATACAGATGTGTGAACACAGATGTTCAACTCCCTTCCCATAAGGGACTGCACCACACCTTGTTTTTTTATCTATTTTTGGTTTTTTTCAATGCCAGGCTTAATGTAATGGTATTTTCCATATCAAATAATTCACAGAATAACTATCTCTTTTTGTGAGTGGGTTTATTTTTGGAAAAAAAAAAAAAAGAAGAAATTTGAGATTTTTGGATATTATTTGACAAAACAAGTTAAAGTTTTGGCTTTCCATAGTTTATACAATTTGAAAAAACGTACTTTTTTATATATTTAGAGGAAGAATGGGGTATTTTTTTTTGTTTCCAATACAGATGATAAATCTTCCTGCAGTTAATTGTAGATAAACAGACACCACCAACTCAATGAGCAGAATGCCTCATGTCTAATAATTAAAATTACTGACCACAGTGAAACAAATTTCAGAAACCCTCATGATTTTTGATTGACTTATTTTTTCCTCACTGAACACTCAAACAGAACAATCCTGTCATGAACCCGGCCCTCAAAACACCTGTCTTTTAAACCCAGAGTCCATAATCAAAAGTTTCCTGTCTGGCATTTGCTTCCAGGTCTAATTTTTACTCTCCCCTCATTTCCAGTAAAAGCAAACCGTGCAGAGAGTCACTATGCGGATGCTGCTCAGGAAACTCTAGGTACCACGGGAAATGCGTCGCACGAAACTAATCAAAAGCTGCACGGCTCATTCTCCCTCTACCCTGCTACCACCCGTTCTGATCACTTCTCTGCTTAATAGAGGTACTAGATGAGTAAAATAAAGGTGGAAGAGCCTCCCCGCTGCCCGCCCCGAAATTAGAGCCTTGCCTGTTGTGCAGAGTGCACGAAGCGAAGGGATGAGGATGGGGAATTTGGGCTGGGCCAGCCAAGACAGTGTCTGCTCAGCAAGGGAGGAGGCCAGGAAATGAAGTTAAACAAATCATGGAAAATTTTCAAAAAAAATCAAAATGAAAAATTTTAATTTTTTTTTTTTAAAGATCCCTTCCTCCCTATCACCCCATCCCTCCTCAAGGTCCAGGGAATCCTTGCAAATTGACTTGCACTGTACAGCAATGTCCAGTTAGTAGCCTGAGAAATACCAGCTTCCTGCCTCTGCTCAGTCACCATTCCTTTGGCTCTCTGACCGTGACAAATTGACCTTTCCTAGCCTGGTGGCCTTTGGAAGCCACAGCTTGCCTATCTAGCACCTCTACTACGCAGCTAGAGAAGGACTAATCTCAGCCTGTCCCGCCAGACGTAGGGGACAGGGCTCCCCTGAGCGTTGACATTGGCCTTGTGAATGGTTCTGTTTCTAGACCCCCAGGGGGACAGACAGCTTTAGCTCAGGGCTTTCTACGAGCAGGGTTTGCATCTTTTTCATCCAGCTGACAATTCCTAGGTGTTTTCAGGGACTTCCCAACCAGCATCCCTTAGTGCACCCACAGCCATATACACAGACACATAGATCTTCTCTTACCTGTGCGTAAATACTTTCCACACCTGCACTAGAAGAGTCTCTGCCCCCACCCCTGCTCCTCAGCAGCAAACATGCACCTTCTTGATCTCCCTCTGCCCAGAGTTTGCATGCTGTGAATGCTGGCAGGGGACCCCCAGCTCCTTGCCCCCACAGCCAGGCAGGTGGACAGCCCAGGAGTGGCAGGGCACTGAGTGATGCCGCATGTTTGTGAACTCGGATTTTTGCATGCTCTTTTTTGGAGTCCGTTTTAATTCTCAAAATCACCAGTCTCTGTATCCCTCAGAAAGCCAACAAACTACAGCTTTGAAAGTTGTAAAACTGCAGCTCTAACAGTATATGTATCTCTGATTTTCTTCATTAATTGTTTCAACCTGTATCTTTTCTTTTCTTGCTATTTTTTGACCTGCTGGCTCTTTTTATTCTCTGTCAGTCTAGAGGGTAGGACTCATGGCTGAGGTTTGCGTGTACCAGGTGCTCAGAAGTAGAGTGGTAAATCCCATCTCTGAATGGGTAACAAAGAGGAATGGGGCATGATCTAGGGTTCATAAAAAGCAGTTTCTCCATGGTAGGAAATCCCTTACATCTGGATAAATAGCCTGAACCTCTGAGTCAGCCTCCTGCTACATACTTGGTGGTGCTATGGCCTTCCTTGAAGGTTAGCCTTGAAAAGTGGGGGTAAATATTGGGTGATCATCAGTTGCACAGGCAGCATTTCAAGACAAATGGCAAAGATTTAGTCAACAGTTTAGCTGGAAAAAATGAACCTGACTTCTGTGGTGTTCCCATTTGCCAGGTGAGGTTGTTTTATGTGTGGAGGTGTAGTGTGAGCAGGGAGTTCTCCCCAGAGAAAGCCTCCTCTCAGTTGCTTAACACTGAGGTTGTTTTTGGCAGAGATGAAAATGAGCAGTGCTATTCATAATCTGTCCTCTCATCTGTTCGTGTCTAGTTCTGTTTTCTGGAAAATCAGCCACTCTGATCTCAATGTCTTCCTTGCATGTCTTCCTAGGCATGGATTTTTGATTGCTAGAGCCAGTGTGATTTTTTTTCTGTTTTCTACTGAATTCCTTCCCACTGTGGTCCTCATTTCATCTCCCACATCTTGAGTTCTGCAAGGGAAAGGGAGGATGAAACAAAGTGTTACCTCAATATCTTCTTAATCTGTTGGAGAGTCTGAAAAGAAGGATGACAGACCGTGGTTCTTCCAGTCAAAAAGGAGCCTTGGACTTTGGAATAGCTACAAGAGCATCTTTGTTACCTGCATCCATCCTGAATGTAGTGTTATACACCCTGTGCTTTAGTAGAACTGTGGGTTAATTTTTAAGGGATGTAAAAATAATTCAGATGTCTTGTTTCTGTGGACCCTTGGGTGTCTGCCACCAATCCCCACTGCACAAACTCTTGGGGCAGATGCCAGCACTTTGATGCAGCTCAGGCTGAGTGCTAAAAGCCTTCATCTAGGATGCACATAACGAAATAACAGCACACGATGAGGCAATCATGGAAAACTCAATGTAGGTAAATTAATAGGAAACTCCTTAGAAGCTGTGGTTTCTTAATGTACTAAACCAATGATCTTTAGTCAATAAATGCAATAACACATTCATTTTTAGACGGTAATGTAACTACACCAAGGCAGATTATCATCTCTATCATATTCTGCTTTGTAAGAGACTTTCCCAGTACACTCAGGGACGAGGGCACCTCACAGTGGGAAGAGCACCCAGAGCAGTGAAGGAAGGGTGTTTGCAGAGCCCTTGGCTGGCCTGAGACTCTCTGGGTGGAGCAGGTTCCTTAAAGTCTGCTTTGGGAATGGTCAGCCAGCTCAGAGTGCAGCCTGGCTGCTTTGCTTTGCTCCCAAAATGCAGCACAGCCGAGCTGGCAAACAGCAAAGGGCTGGGAGAAGATGCAGGATGTGCTGGTGTGGTGTCTGACAGCGCTCAACACCAGTCTGGGAGAAGAGGGCTGGGAGTTAGGAAGAGATGGGTGATTATAACAGAATGCTGCAGGACAGCCAAGGTTACAGATGTGAGTCTGGCTCCACTGTCCCTTCACTCATCCCTGTGCTTTCCTGTGCTCCTGTGGTGGCTGCAGGGATGCTGCAACTCCAATCCTCACCATCACAGCAGCAGTGGCTCCCATCCAAGTCTAGCACCATGGTTGTGGATGAGGAAAAGGAGAGGGATTACTCACCATGACAGGATCACTGGCTGATGTTTTGTTTCCCTTACACCCAGGTTTCTCTGCTTCTAGAAACTGCGTTCTCTAGGCTGAATTCACCTTTTAGCAATGTTTTTTTCTGGAATCACTGGAGTCAAACCAGGCTTGAGCCAGGCACTCTCTTGGTTTTTGTTTTAGTCATGGTAAATTTTGTATACACAATTTTGTTTTCTTTTCCTTCATGTCTCCAGTAATTGTTGTCTGCCTCTTACTTACAGCAGCAAGCAGACTGGAGCCCTGTGATAGTCACCAAGGTCATCATTCACTCCTGGCACTCTTGCCTGGTTTTAATCAGTTGTTCTCATATACCACAAGCTCAGCACAAACTCTTGATTTAAAAAAGCCCCTCATTTACTAACAGGAGACAGCATTTTTCTCCTGGCCACAGCTTCTCAGAAGAATGAGCACAGATACTGGTTGGGTTTGGGTGCAGAGATGGATCTGGGTCTGTGCTAGTCCGACTCATTCTGGCTAGCTGAGAAGAAGATGAAGTAATGGCTCAAGCATAGTTTAAAATCAATGGCAAGACCTTACAACTGATACTTTTTATTGATCTAGAATTACTGCTAATGTAATGAGTCCACATTTTTTTAAAAGGGCTGATTTAGTACTATAGAGAACTGGAATAAACTCCAAACCAGAGCATTTTAAACAGGAGCTTAAACCTCTGGCATCCTAAGGAGGCTGATGGCAGCTCATTTTGAAGGTCAGTACTTGTGCCTTTCTCTGCTGAGTGCTGGGACTTAACCAAAATGCAAAGCCCACTAAAGCAGTGAACATCATCCAGTTTCTCCAGCATGGACTCTCATTTTTTGACTGGCAACAGAAAAAAATCAGCTCAGTTTCTCTCCTTTGTTAAATTCAAAACCTGAATATTTATAAACCTTCCCCACAGTCAGCCTGGAAAGGTAATTTTTTGCTATCTAATCTGATTTCACAGATGCCACTTGAAGTGGATCTAGAATTAAATCACAACCTGATTTAAACATGTGATTTAAACCTGGTAGGCTGTTGTGGCTTCCCCTAACCTGTGCCTCTGGTTGCACAGCCACAGATCCCTTTCCCTTCCTCCCCCTGGCACGAGCAGAGGTCCTGCCTTGTGCTCACACCGCTGTCACCACTGTGAGCGTCCGTCTGTCCCTGCTGTCCTCACCTCGTGTCACCAACACCTCCCACCCAGCTGAGGCTCATTACCATCCTGGAGTGACATCCCAACACCACCTCTCTGGGGCACTCTGCATCCCTGTCCCTCTGCATGACTTTCTGGTTGAGTGAGAACATGATCTTGGATTAGCTGACAACATATATCCCTATGTATGTCTGTATTTCTGTGGGATTTTTTTTCCTACCAGCCCCTGCAGGCCCCAACAGCATCCTCCTCTGCAGGGATTGTACTTGCATGTGATTCCAGGTGTCGTTTCCAATGAGGAATTGCATGGCAGAAGGAAAAATTTTTAAGTTGTTCATGGTGTCTCGTGTCATCTATGTTAAAACAAAGAAGTTACATCAAGTGTTGGGTTTTTTTCCTTAGTGAGTACTTGGGAACAAAACCCACCCAGATCTTAATTGTTCATCAGATTTCTATGAGATTTTTTAATGTGTTGCTCCTCATGCTCTCAGGATTGAAACTCTTTGCTTTTATCCCTCACCAAGTTCAACCCTTTATTTTTTGCTTTTTGTGATTCCTGCAAACATTTGTAGCACATTTGTTGTGGGAATGGAAAAGAGGCTCCAAGGAAAAGGCCCTGCCATACTGAGTGAAAGGCAACTGGTTTTATGCTGGGATTGGTAATGGGAGAAACTCAGCAGAGGGTAGGGCACAAAAAGATCACTTTGAATCCTGAATATTGCTGTATTGCTAAAGCATTTTTATAAAACTTACTTTTTAAAAAGGTAATTCAAAGCAATAATACTACTGAAACACAGTGGATTCAAAAAATATTATTCTTTAAAATCAACAAAAATAAAGAAAGAAGATCCAGTTGGCCTATTTAGAATCAAATGATGAAATTTCAATCTGGTTTCTAATCCAAGAAACTCAGAGTGAGAATTTCCTTTAAACCTTTGGCACATTATGTGCAATGGTTTTGGTGGCAGTAGTAATGAAGGCTTATATCCAGAAAGGTGTTTAGGCACGTGCTTGTTCCCAGAATCCTGTGTGGATTTGTACCTGTGACCTGGATTTCAGCTCTGCTGATCCCATGGCCTTCAGACAGACCCTGCAGATGGGCACCACACTGGAAATTCAATCCCCAGCACCTACCTGAATTAAAATTCGTCTTTAATTAGAATAATTCCACCTTTTTAATTTGGTCATGAGCAAATTTTATTTTCTCTCCAACCCTTCTTTCAATGTGAAATTGCTGCTGAGCTTGTGGCCGCAGCCAACCCTTCCCTGCAGCCCAGGGGATGCCCTCCCCACACAACCCCACAAAATGCTGCCTAAGCACCTTTCTCTCCCTGTAAACGTTTGTTGTCTCGCAATGTAAAGTGACTTTGTAAAAATAGCACCTTCTTAGTCGACAAATCCGCTCCCTGAGTGTCCTCGAGTCACATCTTCTTCCTTGGCTGGCCGGAGCTGGTGTCTGCTCCTGTCAGCAGGGAACAGCCGGCGGCTGGGAAAAGGGAGCCGCGCTTTGCTTTGCTTCAAAACCAGCAGCCAAGTTCTCACTGGAGAACCTCGTGTGCCAGTTTTGAAGGCAAAGAAGGGGCCATGGGGCTCTAACTTTTAAGCTGGTGCTGCTGAAAGACACACCAAAAAAAAAAAAAAGAAAAACAGGTCTTTGGTTGGTGACGTGGAAATTGAAATTGAAATTTGTGAAATGTTCTTCCCGCAAATTGCGGCAGAGAGTTGGCAGCAGAATGATAAGTGGCTGCTGCAATGGTACAGAATGCTGGGAATCCAATCCCTGTCTTCACTCAGTTTTGATATGCCTATATATAAAATATTGGCTATTTGTGCAGCTATCTTGCACTGGTTGTCCAAGCTCTAATCAGTGGAGTTTAATCATTGATTGCTATTAAGAAAATATGAAATGATCCAAAAGTATTTGCAGTCTACTTTCCTCAGTGCTGTCTCTATAAAGTTTATGGTTTCATAAAGATTCACAAAATCTCTTTGTTCTTAAATTTTTAGATAAAAATTCAACATCTCCATTTGGGTGAAAGGCTTTAAATGCAAATTTCAGAATTTGGAAACTAATTAGAGCTGGGTGGTCACTGTTTCCCAGTGAGATCTCTGTTTATGGAGAGACCTTCTTTTCCAACCATAATTGCAAAGACTCTCATAGGAAAAAAGGCATGAAAGTCCATATTCTGGAGTTTTAAAATTTTGCTTTCCATATTTATGACAGCCATAGCAGACCTCGAGGGAGATGGCAGATAGCTTTTAGATGGGATTTTTTACAGGATGCAAAGGAGTTGCACAGTGTTTGTATTTATGTGTTTCAATATGTAACTGGATAAAGAGGAACTCTTTGGAATATATAAAGGGGGCAGATCATGTTTTAAGAGGGAGGAAATACAGGAGCTGAAGAGGGAAAGGACAGATCTGAGCACCAGAAGTGAAGTGTTCGCACAAAAGCTTTAAGATGGTGGCTTGGGGTTTTTTTAATTGGTATTTTCTTATTAGCCATAGTGTTTTGGAAGGCAGTTGTGAAAGAAAAGCTTCCTAACTGGTGATCGGAGCCGATCAGTGATTTAAGGAATCATAACCTCATTGTTAATGTCATTCTGTCCCGCCAGCCCTGGCATCCCATGAGGGGCTGCTGTTTAAGTCCTCATTATTTTCTCTCTCTTACGAACCATTCCCATTTCACTCATGATGACGGAAACATTTCTACAATGCTTTCTTTAAAGCAAAAATAAAAATAAAAAATACATATTGGAGAAAAAAAAAAAAAAAGAAAAGCCAACAGCAAAGCTACATGTCACTGCTGCTTGGAAGTGCTCTTGGTTTCTAATGGCTGGTGGGGAAGGACTGCGTGGTTTCCAGAATGACTCCTCCTGCTGTCTCCTTTTTGTCTTTGTTTCAACGTGTTTCTCTGAACAGTCAGAAGGTCAGTTTGAAAGATCGTGTCTTCTCCAGTCCCCGCGGTGCTGGCACCAAAGGGAAAGGCTCTCCACAGGCTCAGGGCATCAGGAGGTCCCCCAGTGCTGACCAGAGCATCGAGGACAGCCCGAGCAAAGTGCCCAAGAGCTGGAGCTTCGGAGACCGCAGCCGAGCCCGGCAAGCGTTCCGCATCAAGGGAGCAGCGTCGCGGCAGAACTCGGAAGGTGAGGGCTTGGGATGCCGTGCTGGGCCCTAAATTCCCAGCTGGCCCCAACATCCTGTCCCTCCCCACCTAAAAAGGGCAGAGCTGCCAGCCAAGGCCTTCTCCTCCTTCTCCTTCTCCTTCTCCTTCTCCTTCTCCTTCTCCTTCTCCTTCTCCTTCTCTTCTCCTTCTCCTCCCAGTCTTTTAGCTTGGAGTAGGCTGAGCAACCTGATCAAGGTGAAGATGTCCCTGCCCATTGCAGGGGGTTGGGCTAGAGGGCCTTTAAAATGTCCCTTCCAACCCAAACTTGTCAATAATGATTAGAAGATACAAGAAAACCCCTTCTGATACCCATGATAATGTTTGTATTTCTGTATATAAGGATGGGGAAAGGAGGAAGAGTCAGGTATTGGGACAAGAGGAAATGACCCCAAGGTGCGCTGGGGAGGGTTAGGTTGGATATCAGGAAAAATTTCTTGACTAAGAGGGTGGTCAAGCCCTGGAACAGGCTGCACAGGGCAATGGTGGAGTCACCTTTTGGAGGGATTTAAAACACATCTAGATGTGGCACCTGGGGACATGGTTTTGTGGCTGGGCTTGGCCTTGCTGGGGGAATAGTTGGACTTGATGATCTTAGAGGGCTTTTCCAACCCAAATGGTATTCACTGGGATTCACTGATACAGGGATGTGTGAGAGCTGCACTTGGCACTGCTGAATGTCACCTAAGCACATCCTGGGAAATGCTCTCATCTGGATACTCAGCAAAGGCTTCTCTGCTGCTTCCCCTGGGATTGCTGTTTGTGATATGCCTCACTGTGCAGCACTGGCACAGGGAACGGTAACGTGTTGTGTTTCTCCTTCCCTGTCCCAAACCCAGAAGCAAGCCTCCCTGGAGAAGACATTCCGGATGAGAACAAAAGCTGCAACTGCGAGTTTGTGACAGAAGATTTGACACCAGGGCTGAAAGTCAGCATCAGGGCCGTGTGGTAAGAGAGAGAGAGGGGGGAAGCAGTCCAAAAAAATAAATTATAGAGAAAAATGAGAAGTGTAAAGCCTGAGAAGTGCTGGCAAATGCTGACATGTGTGTGCTGCAGGCTGCTTTTCCCCTGGGTGGCCTGCCCTGCTTTACAGACAATTTTGCCAGGAAGGGCAATTTTTGCTTAGGGAAGGAATAAATGGAGAAACAGGAAAATCCCCCGCAGGGATGCATCCAAATGACAGTTCTCACCAGCTCTGAACGTAATGCTGACATTTCTAAAAGCGGTGCAGAGAGCACATGCACAGATGACAGTCCAAGGGGCATCAGGGACCCCCTGGTGCAGACAGGGCTTCAGCCACCAGCCCCCGCAATCCCCTTCCTCTCTCCTCTTGCTGCATCCTCCCCCAAACCCACAGGGTTGGGATTTATTCCATTTTCCCTCCAGAGCAGCTCCCTGCAGTGTTTTTTACCCGCCATGAAGCAGGTCAGGCTGCACCCAGGGGTGTGTGATGATTTTGCTCTCTGTCTCCTGCAGCATTATGAGGTTTCTGGTCTCCAAGCGCAAGTTTAAGGAGAGCCTCCGGCCCTACGACGTGATGGACGTCATCGAGCAGTACTCGGCTGGGCACCTGGACATGCTCTCCCGGATCAAAAACCTTCAGGCCAGGCAAGAGACCCCTCTATTTGCTTCATTTTCTACTGCATTTTGTTCACTGTGGAGGTGTTTTCAGGAGAGACACTTCTCTTTGCAGCTACAGCTTATTCTTTTCCTTTTTAAGACAAATCCCCATGGAACATCAGTGCTAATGGCTGGAACCCACAGGGATAAGCAGGTCTTTAGGGCAGGGACTGCCCTGAAACTCCCTTACTGCCCATCTCAGGACATACAGAAATCATGGCTCATCCTCCTGCTTTATTTTGGGAGCTTTTGGCAATACGGTTTATCCCAATATGTATATCTCCATGGTCCTCCTGGCAGGCTGCAGAGGTTTGGTGCCCAAGGTTTAAGGTTGATGTGGGTCACTTGGTACCTTTCTGGGAGTGAAATAAGATGAAATTTGGTGTCCTGGCTGTGGCCCTGCTGCCACAGACACAGAGAGCAGTGAGGAGGAGGCAGCAGCTCCCTCCCACCGTTGGGATGCTGAGCTGCTTCAGGAGGAATCCCTCCTCGGATGGCACAGTCTGCTGAAATCCATGCAGATGGGAGTGTCTCATCCAAGCCCACCACCGTAGGTGGGGCTTAGCTGAGCTGCATTTCAGCTTCTAGGCTCAGATTTTAGGGCAAGATGTGCTCATTTTAAGAGGAGAAGGAATGTGGAAAAGGGACAAATGGAACCGAGAAGGTTCCATGTTTTTCATGTTTCTCCTGGAATAAAAAAACCCCTCAAACATGTTTGATTCCTTGAACAGAGGATCAAAGTTTAATCTTTCAGTCTGACCACTCTTCCCTCAGCCCTGATGGGAAAAGCAAACCCCAAGCCTCCAACAGCCCTGGTTGTGTTGGCTCAGCAGAAGTGGCTCCAGTTCTGCAGAGTTTGAAGGACACCCAGAACTGTGGCAGGGCTTGGCCATGGGCAATCTCCAGTCAAAAAAATACACCATTTGCTTTTACACTTGGAGAATGAAATTGCTTCCCTTGATGGCTGTGGCAGCCCAGTTTCCCCTAGAAGCCATTGAGGAAGTTTTCCTTTAATTTCAGACCCATTTAAGTCCCCGGTAGAGTCAGCAAATATGAAGGAAAAAGAAATGTTTGTGTATGCAAACAGCTGACATGAACCTCAGGAATGAAAGAGGAAAATTGTCTTGGGAAAAAGAGGAGTCTCTGTTCTGCCATGAATCTCTCAGAGACCATTTTAACTCTGCTATTTTTGATGTTCAAGATGCAGAGGTAACTTTCTCAGCCCTGCTGCACACTGTGCTTTTCCCAGAAGGAACATTCTCCTTTGCAATGGAGACCAAAATATCCTGGAGAATTTCCTCTGTGTGAGCCTCTCACTCCCGTTCTGAACAAATTCAGTGATCACAGATCCAAAATGTGTAGCTGAATATAGAGGGAGAAGAGAGGAGGAAGGGATTGAGATTTCCTAACTTTAGTAACCTGAACCAAGAGGCCTTGAGGCCACCTCTGCTGTGGGTCCTGGGCATTTGGATTGTCCCCTCTGCTGGCTCCAGGTGGGCTGCCTGAGTCTCCAGCACCCTGAGGGCTGTGGCAGATTGCCTCACCACCCATCCAGATCTCCCCAGTCCTTCAGGGACATGTGCTGCAGAGACAAAGCAGTTTGGTTATCTGCTTTTTTGGGGAGGTTGGGGTACAGAATTGCAGCTTTCAAAGACCAAACTGGATTCTCCTCTTAGCTGTAGGTCTAGGACTGTGAGGATGAGGCTCTGGGGCTGGACAAGGCCACCACCCATCCTCTCACAGGGAAGCCAGGAGGACCAGGAGCTGCTTCAGAAGCATGAAGCACCTGGGTTTGGGATCCAGGCAGCTTCATTGGTTTCACTGTCCCCACGGAGCAGGAGATCAGTGGTGGTGATGGGAGCAGACCCCTTTGGGGCCACCCTTTGGGCACCAACAGGTCCCATGGCTGGGCACCTGCCCAGTACAACTGGAAGGGCCCCCTGTAGACAAGGCCATGGCCAGTGTTGGACCCTGCACCCTTATGGTGGATCCCAGAGAGGAAGTCATGGGGCACCTTGGAGAACAGATATTTTAGTGTCCCTTTCCTTCATCAGAGCCCTGTGCTCTGCCTGCCAGCCCAGCTCAGCTCTGACCTCCCCTAGCCAGGGCTGTGGTGGATTTAACCTGCATCCAAGCACATTTCTGGGGTGTTTACATGTACTTTCCTCTTTAATCAGTAAAGCCTGTGTCACTGTGTCTGCAATGTGCTCTTTTCAGTGTTGTGTTCACATTGTCTCGTGTTCCATCCCGACACCTTGCCAACCATGGATGTCTCCCATTCATTGAGTTATCCAGCCCTGCAGCGTTCCTCGCCGACTCCCAGCAGCTCATGCTTCCCTCAACTAGCTGAGGATGTGCTCTCTAGCACTGGAACTGAAAGGAGGATGAATATATATTGTTTCATGTCCAGCCACCTCAATGGGATATTGCCACACATATGCAAATATATTCCAGAGGGTAAAGCATGGTGCCTGTTGTATCTGGGGCGGGGGGAGCTCCTAATGGTGATGCAGTGGTGCCTAAATCCCCAAATCTTACCCTGAGGTGGGTAAGACTCTGGTTTTTCACCAACAACCAGGTGGTAGGCGAGAGCCTTCTGTTTCCAGCAGAATATATTTTCAATTTCTCTCTCTTTCTCTCCCTGTCCTTCTGTTTGTCAGTTGTTTCTTTCCGCGACTTTTCTCTGACCAACTTTTCTCTATGTGTTGCTTCATTATGCATTTTGCTGGTGTCTTTTCTCTTATTTACTTTGCCAGGATAGATATGATTGTGGGTCCCCCACCCCCTTCAACTCCCCGGCATAAGAAGTATCCAACCAAAGGACCCATGTATTCTTCCAAAGAGTCTCCCCAATACTCGCCTAGGTTAGGATTCACCAAAATGCCGCTTTCTCCGGAATTTTTTTTTCATTTGCTTAATGTCAAACCCCCTTCATGCCAGTTATATGACGGCATTTCTCACTTAGCAGTGCAGCCTGCTAAATCAAGACTCACTTGCTGCTCTGGGTGTGCTCTGATTTGCCTTCAAGCCAGAGGGGAACAAAAAAGGGGATGTTCGCTCAGTCATCAATAACCATCAGTTCCTTCAGCGAGCCTATTTCCTATTTTCAGTCTTCTTCGAGGTATTAGAAAGCTAAATTGTGTCTTTTTAAAAGATCTCATATTTTATCAGGCTGTCCTTAAATGTAGAAGGTGGAATATTTACCCACAAAGCCAATATAAAGTGAACAATCCACTTCCTAAAGGATGACACCATCCACACACAAGCAAAGGAGCCTCTGCAGCTCTTGGGGCAATTAAATGAGTTTATTTCAGTGGGCAAAGTAAGAATGAAGTGTTTTGTAGCTGATGAACACAGTGATCTCTATTTCCTCCTGGTGCCATTCTACTGACCATGGAGGAAAAAATTGTGTTAAAGTACTGCAACCATGGGACTCATATTCTGAAAAATAAGAAATCAGTCTTGATTTTCCAAGCAAAAGGAGCAGGAGTCAAACCCAGCCCTCGGTCACACAGCGAGATAGTTGTCATTAAATTCTCTCTAAGTAAAATCATATCTGAAGCTCATGCAATGAGGAATATATTCTCCCAAAAAATTCCCAGTTTAGGGCATTCTGAGGTCTGGGCAGCAAGGCCATGACCCGGGCTGTATTTTCTCCTTGTACTGAGACCAGTAGAGCCCAAAGCAGGTATAAATATTTGCCAGAAAGTAATTTTCCATGCAGAAATAGTAGGTGATTTTTAAATGTAGTAAGCTTAGCCTCAAATATTTTCTTTCCCTAAATATATTTGCCTCCCTAAGAGCTAATATGTGACAAATCTCTTGATTTTTATTTAAGCTGCTCTGAGTAATCTTCACTAGAGAAATGTAAGTAAAAAGAATATTGAAAGCTTACCTTTTCCCACTCAGCTAACTCAAACATTAAAAAAATTGAATTTTCTAGAAGCCCAAAGCTTTATGCTTGAAAAAAAAAAAATGCTTTCAGAAAAGTAATTTTTCCCATTCTTCCTCCCTGCCAAAAGAAGTCTGTGAAAACAAAATAACCTTGCTATCTGCAGAAACATTTATATTTAAATTTAAAAATACACATTCAAATGGATTTTGTTGTATTTAACCTTTAAGATGATACGTCCGACAAGCCTTCACTAAAAGCAAGATTTTCATGTGAAAACTTGTGCCTGACACACAGCAAAGGTGATTAATGGATCTGAGGGGGAGAGGCCTCAAAATGGAATATTTATTTTATTCAGTTCAAGTCTGTTGCTATATCACCTTCATGCTAATGACTTTCCCCTCACCTTTTACACAGTTTCTAATACTGATTTTAAAATCTTTGCACATGCCCACAAGGCTACTAGGATGTTTAGACTTTTTTTTGTAATTTCTCCTTTTTCCAGTGGTTTTTTTTTTCATTTCCCCCTTATCAAGCAGTGCCTGCAGAAAGCAGCAGGGTACAGCAGGCTGCTGAAATCTCTGTTCCCACTCATGAAAAGGCATGTGTTACACTTAATTTTTGGCAGTTTCGTCCTCCCACAGACACCAGCAGCACTTGTGAGGTGCTCAAGGGGCTGATGGGTGGGAACCAGAGCTCTGATCCAAAAACCTGGGTCAGGCTCTGCTGCTGCCATGGTCTTTGTCCTATGACATCCCCATGGATGGCTCCAGCCTCTCCTTTTCAGTCTGCACCCCCTGTTTTAGCCAAATTCTGCCCAGAGAAACCTCATGGGAGGGATGTCCCATGAGCTGTCTTCACCCTATGGATTGCTCAGTTCAGCCAAAATCTTTCTGCAAGCAGCTCCCAGCAAAGTCAGGGGGATCCTGGTAGGTGCCCACAGCTGTGCTTTGGCTGGTGGTGTTTGCTCCATGCTCTGCACACAGACAATTTGGATAAAATTCCCTCGATCAGCTGATTTAGCCTAGAATAGGTGCAATCTCAGCTGTAATTTTTAGAAAACAGTTGTTGATCTAAATTTGTCCAGGGCAAGTTTCATTGCCAAATGAAGAGGTAAGTAGCCAGTCCTGTGACGTGGATGAAGGGGGTTTGGCTTCAATGCCTGGATTGTTTACAAAATTTTATAAGAGATAAAGGGGAAAAAAAGGAAAATACTTGACTATCTATTCCCAAACACTTCATTTTTATATCATTTGAGCCGTTTGACCTTTTGATGTCTGCTTCTGGCCCGAGGGTGACAAATTACACCTCTTTGCATGCACTGTTAGCATGAAGCATAATGAAGCATGAGAAAACCTGCACTGTGGCTGATGCAAGAATTTACATTTTTTTTGTATCATTAGAAAGAAGGAAAGACAGTAAAGTCCACTTTAAAGAGCAATCCCCTCTTCTTTCTCCCTCCCAAAGTGAGGCCCAGCAGAGCCAACCAGGGACAGCAGATGGCACAGTTGGTTGTGCATCCTTAGAAATCTCTGAATCCTCTTCTGCCAGGAAAGGAAGAACATGGGGCTGGCTCTTCCAAAGCTTCAGCTGAATTCTTCCCTCTGCACAAGTGTATTTGGCACAGCAAAAATAAGTATTGAGAAGACACAAATCTCCCCGTGGCCTGTAGTGTAGGAATGGGGTAGGCACCCCAGAAGATTCTTGGTCCTTTGTCGTGCCGTAAGAACATAAATTATCCCCTTCTGCTTCCTATAGTGGAATATGTTCTTTCTTCTTCATCTTTTGAGCTTTGTTGCCCAGCTGGGACAAAATCTCAAAATCTTGTAATGGCTAAAAGGACCTCCTGCTCTTGGTGGTTCTGAGCTAGGTACAGGTGGGTTGGGGAGCTCACAAGGAATTTCCTCTTTCCTCTTATATCAGATAAGGCACAAATGAAATCTGGGCTTTGCTGAGGGTAGGAGCACTCTCCTGTGCTCCAGCTGGTGCCATGGTCAGCAAAGGGGTAGGAGACCTTGACACTGGTTTCTGCCATAAAGAAAGAAGGACTTGGTTCACCTTCTTCCCTCCCTGCACTGAATCCAGGGGCCCAGAGCTGCCCCCTGCACCATCCTTGGTGCTGCTCTGCTTCCTCAGAGCTGTGGGAGACAACCACCCCAGGAGTCAGGGCCGTGTACAGGTACAGACACAAAGGGAATGAATCAAGCAGGAATTCTGGGCTCTGGTGTCAATTCTATAATGGGAAAGGGCTTCTGAATGCTTTATGGGTGAGCTCTGGGAAGGGCTTCAGCCCTGCTCCTAAATCCCAGCAGGTCTAAAGGCAATTTGAAAGTGAGCAACAACTGAGTGCTCTTCTTAGTGATCACTTCAGCAGTGAAGTGCCAGCTGGCCCCTGAAATGGGCCATGTGAGGGTCACTCACTGGGCAGCTCTTCTCTTCAGCTATGAAAGACAGCAGAGGTCCTGCCTTGATTTCTGCAAGGTTAGAATTAGGGTTAGGATGCAATGTTGGGTTCTCCTCTCTGTGTCACAGTCTGTCCTGCCTCCCTGCACCACTCCACAGCTCCTGAGGGACGTCTCATTTCCATGAGTGGACATATTTCAGTGTCACTGTGCTGCTGGATGCAACAGGAGGACAGAGCACCCTGATTGTTCTCGGCCTTCTGCAATACTCAGTAACATTTAGACTTTGGGCCTCTTTAAACTCGTGTTCATTCTTTTACCAGTCTACTTGCTTGTGCATACAGGAGAGGAGGTCATACAGTGGCTGTACCACGCCTTGGCTTGTGATTCCCCACCAAGGTAGCCCGAGGTACCCAATTTAACAGCTCTTTGCTTACATGGTAACGACTTTGTCCCAGGATTTCTTGTGCTGTATGTCCTGTCAGTAACTGCATCCCTCGTGGGGAGTTCCTGTAAGTGTCAGTGACTTCCTTCTCCCATTACAAGAGAGAAATAAGGCATGCATATTCCTCACACTTGTAATTCCAGCACTTGGTGCTCCTTGTACTCCTGTGCTTATATTGCTAAGCAAAGGATCAAACATGGCTTTTTAAGCAGAACAGAATTCTGTCACATCCCTGCCCAAATCAAGTAGCTTCTGGGATCAAAGCTAAACTCTGAAACAATTGCTGGCTTATATTTTCTGTCTTTGGTATGATGTGCTCATCCACTTCATCTCTTTGAGCCAGATCTGGTGCTGTAAAGTGCTGTTGCTCTAATATAAGCTAAGGGAGCCACACTGGTCCATTCCCACTGGTACCTGTCCCTCAGTGTCAACAGCCAACATCAGTATGAAGTCCCTGTCCAATGTGAAGCAAACAGATGGCTCTTGTGTTGGAAATAGCCTCACGTCTCATTCCTTTCCTTGGTTTTTGTTTGTTCATTTTCCCCTGTCTGTCTGTGTTCAGCTCCTTCCTTTTCCTCCTCCTGGTGCATGGACCCATGGCCCACACGGCAGAACTGTGTAAGAAGCATTTTGAGTTTTTGCTCAAGATTCCTCAACTTGGTTTCAGTCAGATTAATTAACCCTTCTTTCCCCCTGCCACCCTTACATTTGGTGCATTATGCAAGAGTAAAGTTTGCCCAGCACAGAATTAGTCTATAAACCTGGCTGCCATTAAGAAGTTATTCCAAAAATTAGTTGCTCCCCAGACTTTGGAGGGATCAAAAAGCTGTATTGTTTACTCTGCAGAAATTTATATTTGATGCCTCTAATAAAATTGAATCCAAACTTCCAGGCTGGTTCTACTCTCCTCCTTTCTCTGCCTATGGAGCTGTTAATCAACCCAGGTGTTTCCATACTGGGAATAAGGAAGTGCAAATGTGACGTGTGTAAAGAATTCAGTACCAAATTATGTGCCTGGTAACCTTTCCCAGCTGTTTTGGCAGATTCCTCTGCTGCTCCCAGCTGGGACCCCTGCTAATAAAAAACAGTAAATCTAGCAGTGCAAGTGTGAACTGCATTGAGATGAAAACAGTTTGGTAATGTTTGGTGAGTTCTGGCCAAATTCAGCCTTGATGTAATTCCACTAAAACAGTTATCACTGCACCTGTTTGTCTGGATCTTACGACAAGCAGCTTATTTTCATGGACATAAGAATTACACATGGACATTTGCATGGAGGAGAGGAAACTGCTGCAAAGACTGAAAAAGATCCCATTGATATTTGCTAGACAGAAAACTTGATCTTCCCCCAAAACAATAATTTCTCAGCCCAAATAAGAAGTTAATCGATTTGGAAGAAAGCCAGCTAAAGAAATTCTTTGCAGTGGGTAAATTTACTGTGCATAATGTGCCAGGTTTTATCTGTATAAACAGAAATGGATAATTTCAAACTCTGCTAATACCGCTCTGAATTTTGCATCTGAATTAACACTTCAGTGCCACTGCGTGTCTGTGAGTAATTTGGAGTGTTAGCTGGGAGAGAGGCTGTTGCTTTGTCCCGTGGAGGCGCAACAAGCAGTGCCCTCCTCACCTGCTGCCCCCAACTGACTCCAGGTCCTTTTCCGGGGGTGGGGGGATTTTCTGATCCCGCTAGAGTTGACCAGATTGTTGGGAGAGGATCCTCCATGACCGACAAGGATCGGACCAAAGGGCCGGCAGAAGGGGAGCTGCCCGAAGACCCCAGCATGATGGGCAGGCTTGGAAAAGTTGAAAAACAGGTATCTTGGGTCAGGAAGGGGTTCTTGTCAGAGGGTGTTGCATGCATTGTGTTGGTTTTTCCTTGGCTTTTTCCTTTCAGTGGAATGTTACCTTTAAGTTAAAAAAAAAGAGAGCCCTGAATACTTTGAAAAAGAAGCAAGGTGGATGTTATGAAAGGGCACTAAATGCCTTGGAAGCCTAAGTGCTACTTTCAAACCAGGCACTTGAATTCTAGTTTAGTGAGTTTTTCAAAAGCCTGTATTATTTTTGAAAACAGCACATTGGTTTCTTTGCCACCACACTGGACAAGTTTCAAATTAGTCCCTGAGCCTGTCTGCTGGAGCTGCTGGCCTTGCTGGAGATTTAGAATCTTCCTAGAGCATAAAGCTCAGAAATCCCAATGGCCTTCTGAGCTCAGACGAGTGCAAAGTGAAGGAAGGAGCTGGAAGGAGCAAGTGTTCTGCTGCTTTTCTAGAACTTGGTGTGTGTCATAAAGATTAGAGGAGCATAAGGACAATCCTGTAACAAGGTGGAGAATTAAACCCTTCAGAACAGGACAATTAAATACTCTAAAAGTTTGAGATGCTGTGGGTCAGTGTAGGCAGAGGTGATCTATGAAGCCCAGTCCCACACTTGTGCCTCCATGGAAGTTGCTCATACTCAGGATGTTAATGTGCCTCAGCTTGCACATAGTGCTGGAACTGTGGTGTTTTTGCAGGTTCAGTCCATGGAGAAGAAGCTGGACTTCCTGGTGAACATCTACATGCAGCGGATGGGCATCCCACCAACGGAGACAGAGGCTTACTTTGGGTCCAAAGAACCAGACCCGGCCCCTCCCTACCACAGCCCCGAAGACAGCCGGGAGCACATCGACAAGAACGGCTGCATCATCAAGATCATCAGGTCCACCAGCTCCATGGGCCAGAAGAACTTCTCCGCCCCACCAGCCCCGAGCAATGCCTGCCCGCCCTCCACGTCGTGCCAGCGGCAGAGCCACGGCTCCTCTCCCATCGGGGACCCCGGCTCGCTGGTCCGGATCCCGCCTCCGCCCTCCCACGAGCGCTCCCTGTCCGCCTACAGCGGCGGGCACCGGGCGAGCAGCGCGGAGTACCTGAGGAACGAAGACATTACAACCAAACACCACGAGAGTGCCATGAGAGACAGCGACACGTCCATCTCCATCCCCTCGGTGGACCACGAGGAACTGGAGCGCTCTTTCAGCGGCTTTAGCATCTCCCAGTCCAAAGAGAATTTGGACATCCTTAACAACGGTTGCTATGCAGCCGTGGCCAAAATCAGACCCTACATTGCGGAAGGGGAGTCAGACACCGACTCTGACCTGTGCACGCCCTGTGGTCCCCCGCCGAGGTCGGCCACGGGTGAGGGACCCTTCAGTGACATGGGCTGGTCAACCCCCCGGCAGTGAAGGCTCCCTGCAGCCGCCGCGCCGCGTCCCAGCGCTGGCAGCTGCCCACTCCAGCTGCCCACATGTCGAACTTCTCAAGGAGATTGACAGCTAAGGTTTTCCTCTTTCTAGGACACCCTTAGCTGGCAGATACTTTCTTGCAGCTTACTCTGGGGGGGACAAGCAGGTCCGAGCCTGCACTTGTGGAAGAGGTCACGGTGACGAGCGAACTGGAGCCGTGAAGTCCAGATTTCTTTCATACTCTCTTTCTAAGATCATTAGGTGAAACTTCCATGGCGCAGAGTAGGCAATTTGCATTTCTTGGGAATCTTCAGAAGTGCAGGGCAGGAATAAATCACCCAGCCAGGGCTTTTGTAGATCATTTTAACTGGTGGCTGACAAGTGTTAGGTGGGAATTGATATGTCATGGCAGGAGCTGATCACACCTTTAGGTGTTTTGGAGTCACAGACAGAATACGTTTCTGTTCCTGGCTTAAGTTTCAGAGCATGTGTAATAGTGAGGGGTTGTTACTCCATGGTTCCTCATTAGCTGTCAGGAAGGTGACATAATTCCAATATAATACATGGAAAATCCCTGGAGGAGAGGAATGCTGGCTTGGGATATTTCCACGAGCAGCAGACGTGGCCTTAAGTGGGACTTGCTGGGGTACTGCTCTGAACCACAGCAATTTGGAAATGATCCCATCTTGGGAGAAACTCAGAAAATATGAGCTTGAGTGCAAGAAGAGGGACAATCCAGAGGGCAGAGAAATGAGACAGAGAAGGAGGACGAGACACTATGGGGATGGAATTTTATATTTTTAACCATGTATTATATTTAATTATCTCTCCTTCTGCTGACAAGGGACTTGGGGGTGCTTTGAAAGCAAAGACGAATGAAAGGCAACCCCTCTGGAGGGCTGCCATGATCCCAAGCCATTCTCATGGCCAGCAATTGGGGAGGCACAGCCACCAGGCAAAGGGAGAGGGTGGACGTGCAGGATGCTGTGGTACCTGCCTTGCTGTGAGTGAAGTGCTGAGCTCCATCCTCTGGAAGCCCTGTTGGTCAGAGTGGGCACTTTTCTTACGGTTTGCATCGTGCCTGAACACTTTATTGCACACACTATGCCCGTGAAAATCTTTCCTTTCTTCTTCTGCCCTGCCAGGAATCTCACCCCCTCATTTTTGGGACATCCTTTGGTTTGTTTGGATCCCTCAAGCTGAGTTAAGAGGCTCTGCTTTCTTTCTTTCTTCATGGTCTTTCAGAAGCCTCTTGCCCGTGCTTGCCTGCAAGTTGTGCCAATCCCAGTCTGCTCCATTTCGTTGTGGAAGCACTTTCTCTTGGAAAGGTCATTGTATCATTACCAGGAACCTCAGCAGCTCCTTCAGCTGGGGGAAGGCAAGGGGTAAAGTGATGCTCCAAGTTTCTTTTGGGACCAAAACAAAGCCACAAAGTGATCCTTTACATGGATAAGTTGGTAGGGGTTTTTATTTGCAAGGGCATGGATCAGGAGAAGTTTGGTTTGGGATCTGTTTCCAGGGCTGGGACACCATGGCTGGCATTGTGCCTCTGAGCCTTGCTGCGCATCCACAGCCCAAATCCCACGCGTGTTTTCTGCTGTGATTTCAAGCCCTGTCTTTCCACATTTTCCCTGTGTCATATCAAGAGCCTGTTAAGGTTATTTAGGTGACAACTTCATTTCTGTGTGGCCTTTGAGAGGCTGGACATTGATTTGCTTGGGGTGAACGGAGACTCACAGCCTTTTTCTCTCCTCCTGTTTGCTTGACCAAACACAGCAACCAGGGGAGACCCAGGATAATTTTGGCCTTAGGGAAGATGTGGGTGAAGTCTGACAACTTGCAGACAGGAAATAAAACCATTATTTTGCTAGTGCCCAGGGCCAGCACACAGGTCTTATCGTGGAATGAGGAAGGGGGAAGTATCTTCACAACTTTTCCTACCATTTTTCACCATTCAGGAGGGGAAAACCTTGTTCTTAGGGAGAAACTGGTCTTCCAGCCATGCTAGTTCCTTTCTTTCCCCTCTTGAACCGTGTTTTTGTTAACTTCTGCAGTTTTCCCCTCTCTGTTTGTGCTCCAAAACTCCTCCTGGCTCCAGATTCCTTTGTGCAGAGTTAACGCAGCGATGCCCTTGACTTCCACACAGTGACAACTTTAAATGCCAAATGGCTGTAAATTGTGCAGATTTGCCTCTGGTGTATTCCAAAATGAGATCCTTTCTGCTAGAACAAGAAGTGTCAGCAGGTCCTAAATCAAATGTGTGGCCTGGGCTTTCTACCCACCACAAGAATGGAAATTGCTTTTGGTGAGGCAAAAATCGACATTGCTCCAGCCAGCTGCTCACTGCAGATTTTGTCCAAGTCAGAGATAAAAAAGATTTATTCTCTTATTTGTTTGCAATTACTTTTCAAGGCCTGCTAGAAATTTGGAACAGAGGCTGTGATATAGAGGCAGGAATGCCAGATGAGGATGAGGATGAGGATGAGGATGAGGATGAGGATGAGGATGAGGATGATGCCATGCAGTCCTAATGCAGCACAGGTACATGACTGGTCTTCAGTAAGAGAATCACAGAATCATTCATTCACAGAACCACAGAATGGTTTGGGTGGAAAGGGAGCTTAAAGCTCATTTTCAGAAGTTGTATAGGAAAAATTGAGTTTTTCCTCTTCAACTTCCTGCACTGGAATCTATAAAGATCTTTTGACTCGTATCTTGAAAAGTTGTTGGATTTGTTCTGTAATCAGTGATTCCAAAAAACTTGTTTTATGCACATTTCACACAGAATTCACATAGAATTTTTCTTTGAAGGTATGAGATCTATTTTTCTGTGGCGTGACATCAAAGAAATTCTGACACACCACCATGCACAACCATGCCATAAATCATCATTTCTCATTCATCCAGGCAAAACCCCATGGATTTTGGGGTTAACTTACACTAGCATTAGCTCGAAATAACACTCATCATTTCCATGAAATTATTTAAGACTGCATAAACAATGAGAGGTCCTTCTTGTTGCTTACTGTCATAAATAATTTCATTCTTCCCCTAAATTACACTCCAGTACTCTGTGAAAAGTCTTCCCTTCTAATCACTCAGCTCCCCCATGTCTGTACCACACATTCCTGGTGGCAGTCTCCTGCAAGAACCACCAGACTGCAAGAAAATAAATCAGTTTTGGGTTGCTGATAAGGCAGTCCTGATGACAAAGACCTTTAAAAGGGTGGATAGGCAAACTTTGTCCCTCTGCTGAGCCTCTCTTGGGCTACTCTTTGCTTCCCTCTTCCTCCCAAATCTTACTCTGTATTTTTTGGAGGACAGAAACAAATTCTAGGCAATGCCAAGTGTGGACAGAGGAGTCCAAAGAGAGCTGAAGATGTGAAAGCCAAATTTCCAGCAGACCATCCTGAACTGCTCCGTGGCTGCCCATGGCCACACTGGATTCTGTGCCCCAGCCTGATTCCAGGTGTGTCTGTGCTGAATGTGAAGCCATGACCTTGGACCACAGCCTGAGCTCTGGTCTCCAAAAAATTTCTGGTTTGTTTTTTTTTTTTTTTTTCCCATAATCTGGGTTTAGGTCTGGAAAGAAATCCTGCAATTGGCCCACCCACGGGATGGAGCAATGCCTGGGGCTGGGACATGAAGGTTTTTGGTCCTTCAGGGCCAAGTGTGAGTTGAGGTGGTCTGAGGAGTTCTCTGAACAGGAGACGTGGCTGGAGATGTTGCAAGGTGGCCTTTCATAATGTGACCCCGAGACAGAGGAACAGCCATAAGTCAAATTTCCCAATATTTGGGAAGGGACTTTAATGTTACTCAAGTGCAGATTTTGTATGTGAATTTCCTTGTTGACCCATTTTCCTAACAACAATTTTTAGAGCAAAAAATGTCAAGGAGCTTACCAAAACCAAACCTCTCACCCAGCCTCTCAGAAAGCCATTCTATTTCTTTAGACAGACTATGTGACAGATCAGATTTTCTAAAAATGCATTTTGTTTCAAATGCTGCTTAATAGGTCCAAATAAATTTTGCAGGGTCATTGCTATTTACAGATAAATAGGTATATTTTTACATTTTTATTGATTTTTAAGATTTTAAATTATGTGAATTTTTAGAAAGTTTGTATAATCTACCTGAGAAGCCAGAGCATCACCTCAGATACAAATGCTCCCCTTACAGATAATTGCCCAAGAGAAAAAAGAAACACCTTCACTTTTCCCAAGAGGGAGCCATTGGAAACCTCATTTTCCTGACATCCTCAGACCACCATGGTCACGGCAACATTATTGCTAAGACTAAAATGTAAGTTTCAAAAGAGAAACTGAAATTCCTTAGGAATTTACCCAAAGTTGTCCCATACAAAGACCCTTAGCAGTGAGTATTTTATTGGGAATGTTAAAAAGCCCAGGAGCAGGATAAGGATTTCTGTTTCTCCATCATGTGAACGCTCAGGCTGAGTGAACCCTGAGCCTCCAATTTTTTAATCCCAACCCACAGCTGCACGTCCACATCCTCTCCATCCTCTCTCCATCACGGGTCAGCCTCTTCTGTTCTCATCAGCTTCCCTTTCCTGAGCCCCAAACAAGGAAATCAGATACAAAAGCTCCTTCAGCTGCAGGTAGCATTGAGGAGAAGGCTGTGGGGAGGGCTGAGGGCAGCAGCCCCTCCGAGCCCTGCAGGGTCACTGCTGCTCAGAGGTGTAAAAGCAAACCCTTGCTTTTAGCACACAAACACCCCGACTTTTCTGCCTCACGGAGCAGAACCTGCTCCGTGCAGGGGTGTGGGTTCACTGTTTTTTTAAACAATAACAACAGGGTGGGTTTTTAATAATAAGGATAATAATACTGCATAGGAATCTTCTTTAGTATATCTTAGTGTTTGATGCCCCAGTGACACAATACTGCTTGCCTTACCTTAGTGTCTAGAGGGAGAGGGGTCACACACACCTTTTGATACACTATTAATCACGCTTGGAATTTAGGTAGCAGCAGGAACCTTTTTAACTTATGAATGTGCTTTCTGGACTATCTCACTGACTGTACTCTCAATTTTTGCCTGCTACTGCATGCAGCCTGAGATGAGTAGACAGCAATATGCTCCAGCTGTATCTGCACTCCCAGATTGCTGTAGTACCTGACAAGGTAAACATTGCCAAAAGCATCACCCCGGGGAGAGGCTGTGCTCCCAGGGAGCCGCCTCGCAGGGTGCTGCGGTGCTTCTGTAGGTAACACTGATATACCAAGTGTCTTTCATGCTGCAACTGGTCATCCCCCCATCCCTCTGATACAGCATGCACAGACTCCATTTCTACTGCTTGTGACTACGGGGTAAAAAAAACCAAACATGTTTGTACCTGTGGTTCCTTCAAATGTGTAAATGGGGAGGAGAAAATACGAGTTGTATTGGCTGTGTGTCACAACCTCCTTTCCATCTGGATGCCACTGAAAAAGAGCATCCCAGATAGCCCTTGCTGGGGGTTTGGAGGAGCAGGCAGTGCCAAGGATGGAGGCCTGGTCTTCATTTCAAAGATGCCATTTGAACCCACATGTATGGGACCTGCCATATGTCTGATTTAATTCCCATAGGATCCTCTCACCTGCATCCAGCCCTGGGGTGCTTTTGTGCCTGCAGCACAGCCCAAGGTGCAGGGGAGAAGGTGACTTCCAAACCTTGGAATCCACTCTTTGGGAATTCCACCCACCCTTCCCTACAGCCTTGGTGGTCTCAGACACCCTGGAACTGTGCCATAACCATTCCTCATGGAAGCATCTCTCACTCTCCTTACAGAGTGGCCCTGAGCTACATTTTCATCTCCATGAACATTTTGCCAGTGTTCTTCCCACTGCAATACCAGGCTGCCATGAGGCCTTCAGGGTTTGCCCATCTTGCTGGTGTTTGCAGTCTCTTGTATCTCTTGGCACTGCTGAGTTTGACCCCATATCCTCCCCTTCCCTGCCCAGACTGTTTACCAGGGAAGCTGTAATGCCAGAACTCTGCTCTGAGACTTGGCCTGGCATCACCAGGTGCACCAGAGAGCCTTTGTGTTTCGTTAGCACGACAGTTTTGCTTTTTATTGGCAATTTATTTGCTTCCTCATTGAGCCACCGTGGCCTCAACACATCCCTGGTTTGTTCTGCTGGAGCTTTTCCATACAGGGATGGGGTCTGTGCTGTCTCTCTGTGCCCTCTGAGGGTTTGTCCTCATGGCTTTAGCTGATTAAAGTGAAACAGGGATGAGGTCTGGCTCAGGTTTTCTTGTCCAGGTGAACATCTCTGAGGAGAGCTCACAGCCTCTACCAGTGGAGATGTTTTTGCTCCCTGAAGCCAGAGCTGTTTTCAAGACCCTTGTCCCCTTTGGCAACCCACAGATGTGGCTGTGCATGCCAGGCTCCATCTCGGTAATGGGGAGAGCTGGAAAGCAGCTGGTCCAAGCTGTGCTGTTTCCAAAGCTGCCAATGAACCTGGAAGCACTTTGCCCTCTCCTAATTCCTGTAAATACAGCTGCAGGTGGATTGTTCAAGCAGCGTCTGTTTGCCTGGTTCTGAGAAACCACAAGGCTTTCCAAAGCTCAGTGCCAAGCCCAGGCTGGGTTTCACCTGCAGCTATGCCTATAATTTTAGGGCAGGGTTAGTGATTTCAGGTAGAAGCCATGCCAGAGCCTCCAACCTGACCTCAAACAAGGCTGAATGTCACGCTGCCAGCAAAGCCTCTGCTGGAATTTCAGCTCCATTTGGCACTGATGGCTGTGGACGTGGAGAAATGCTCTTTTCTTCCCACTCCACACAAGAAAAGCTCAGCACAAGCCTTGCAAGCCACAATGGGAAAATACCTCTTTATTTTGTCATGGGCACCTCCCTTTAAAGCAGAAACAGCATTTCACAGTAATCGCTTAAACTTGACCAACACAGTGGCCATGATCCAGTGTTTTCCATATGCAGTGATGCTCATGAAAAGGATTGATCACAGGTGTGGATGTGTTTCTTTATCCTCTCCACAGACACCACGTTCAGCCTTGCTGAGAACCTGAGGACAAGTCAAGGCTGGTGACAGGTCTCCTCTGTCCTGCCTGCTTATCCAGCATCTTCCCTGGAGCTGGAGTTTCCCCATGCTCCTGTCAACAGACAGGATGGAGACCTTTCTTTGTTGGTTACTCTTCCCTCCCTCCAAAACCCTAAAATTTGACATTTCTTCACTTTTTCTCAAAAAATTCACGCACAGTGTAGAGTACCTGAGACTTTCAGGAACACCAAGGCAAAACAAGATATAGCTGATAAATGAGAGACATTTTGTTATTTTAAATCAAGAGCAGGTTTTAAACATAGCTGCAGTTGCTGCGTGGTGTATCAAATGCTTTAGGAGATTCAAGAAATTATTCTTATAAATGTTTTATTCTTTTATCAGTAATTCATATAGGTGGGTGCCACTGTTCTTATGCAGCAAGAACACTCCACACACTAAAACTATATTCCTGTTTC